AGGGGAGGGAGGGGAGGGAGGGGAGGGAGGGGAGGGAGGGGAGGGGGGGAGGGAGGGGAGGCAGGGGAGGCAGGGGAGGCAGGGGAGGCAGGGGAGGCAGGGGAGGCAGGGGAGGCAGGGGAGGGGAGGCAGGGGAGGCAGGGGAGGCAGGGGAGGCAGGGGAGGGGAGGCAGGGGAGGGAGGGGAGGCAGGGGAGGGAGGGGAGGCAGGGGAGGCAGGGGAGGCAGGGGAGGCAGGGGAGGCAGGGGAGGCAGGGGAGGCAGGGGAGGCAGGGGAGGCAGGGGAGGCAGGGGAGGCAGGGGAGGCAGGGGAGGCAGGGGAGGCAGGGGAGGCAGGGGAGGCAGGGGAGGCAGGGGAGGCAGGGGAGGCAGGGGAGGCAGGGGAGGCAGGGGAGGCAGGGGAGGCAGGGGAGGGAGGGGAGGCAGGGGGGGAGGAAGGGGAGGAAGGGGAGGAAGGGGAGGAAGGGGAGGAAGGGGAGGAAGGGGAGGAAGGGGAGGAAGGGGAGGAAGGGGAGGAAGGGGAGGAAGGGGAGGAAGGGGAGGAAGGGGAGGGGAGGAAGGGGAGGAAGGTGGTAAGTGCCACGTAATCATATGGCTGTGCTCCCTGCTCTGCCTGGAGGCGGGGGTGGGAGGGGGTTGGAGGGGGAAGAGGGAGGGGAGGAAGGGAAGGGAGAGGATAAAAAGAGGAGTAAAAGAGAAGTTGAAGAGGAGAGGAAGGCGAGGAGGGTGGCTGGCAGGTGCCATGCATTCATGCACCGTCCATGCATTCATGCACCGTCCATGCATTCATGCACCGTCCATGCATTCATGCACCGTCCATGCATTCATGCCCCGTCCATGCATTCATGCCCCGTCCATACATTCATGCCCCGTCCATGCATTCATGCCCCGTCCATGCATTCATGCACCGTCCATGCATTCATGCACCGTCCATGCATTCATGCACCGTCCATGCATTCATGCACCGTCCATGCATTCATGCACCGTCCATGCATTCATGCACCGTCCATGCATTCATGCACCGTCCATGCATTCATGCACCGTCCATGCATTCATGCACCGTCCATGCATTCATGCACCGTCCATGCATTCATGCCCCGTCCATGCATTCATGCCCCGTCCATGCATTCATGCACCGTCCATGTTAAATGCATGCTACGCATGTCCTAATATTGCATGCACTTATCCGCTCGCGGATTCAGTTTAGACTCGTCTGAACACAACGCGTGCATGGAATTAGTGTGTCTCGATACACCCATCCACGCACCCACAGCGCACAGCCCAGCCACGGCGAACAGCAATCCGATCGCCAGCGGGAACGACGCCAGCCGCCTCAGCGTGCCGCGCCAGAGCGCATCCGCCCAGCTGGGGGAGTTTTTCCCTCCACCGCCGCCGCCTCCGCCGCCGCCGCTGGCGCCGCTCCGTTCTGTCGCGGCGCGGGTGACGTGGGGCGGAGGTCTGGACGCGCGAGCGCGATACGCGGCGGTTTTCGCGGGGGGTGAAGTTAGGAACGGCGTGGGACGAAGGAGAGATGGAGAGGTTGCATGGACGGACGGTAAACGGGACAGCCGGGAGATAAAGGACGGACACGAGTAAGGCGAGACACTCAATCGCGATCGCGAACTTAAAGTGCCGAACGCACTAGATGCTGCCAAGTGGGAGGAAGTCGGAGCGGGAAATGGCGGGAGTCCTATCGCCGTCGCTGATCGTAAAGAGCAAAGGGCAGCCATAGTTTAACCGGCGAGTGGGACGAAGTGAGAGCGGTCTCCTAGCACGGCTAAACCGGCAATCGCGGACTGGAAGCAAGGTGGCAAGGAGCTTATATTGCAGACTTGATTTTGTGCAACGAGCTTCTACTGAGCGGAGCTGTATTTATATTTATCATAGGAACTAAGCTCGCAGCTTGTCGAAGCCGCGGTGGCTACGGATTCACGTCGCGACGCGTCGTAGCGAGAGCGTGAGTCGCGTTGCAGGTCCCTGCTGCGAGAATGCTCCGCGAATCGCGGCGGAGGATGGCGACCTGCAGCACCTGCAGACCGTATGCTGACGCAAGCCAGCCCTCGGACCAGAGATTATCGCGCCACGTGGATGCCTGCGTGGAAAGGCAGCTTGGGATCAAATGGTGTACCTTACAATCCATACATTTGATACTTGATTTTACATCAGATATACATGAAATGAAATCCTGGTCGTATATCACAACAATAGCCAGGAAACCAATCAACAGCTCGATAGAATATACCGTAACACAATCCCATCCCATGCGACTAAATTAATGTTGGTCATCTTGAAAGCTTGAACTTGAAAGACTCCATTGCCGCTACAAGCTGTTCGCTGATTCCCTTCTCATTGGCCGAATGGCCGGCATCCGGAACGATCTGTTACCACATGAAACAAACGATACGGTACAACTTGAACTCAAAGATGCACATGAAATATGTTTAAATTTGCTTGCATTAATGAGAGTACCAGAACGACACATGCATAGCGATACAGGCTTTGCTTCTTCCGTACCTTGAACTCAGCTTCGGGCCAAGCCTTGTGGAGTTCCCACGCCGACACGATTGGGCATACCACGTCATACCGGCCCTGGAAGTGGATGGGGGATCACAGGAGTGAACCAGCGCAAGTGAGCAAACAGAGAGACCAACGAAGCAGGCGTAACATTGGGGCAGGAAAAACAAATGGATGAGGGTACCTTCGAATCTCTCAGAGCTCACCTGCACGATGACGGCTGGGATGTGTCTGAACTTGGGCACAGAGTCGAGAAGACTCTTAAGCCGACTCAAAAGTCACCCAACTCTTAAACCTCTCAGAACCTACCTGGACAATGACAGCTGGGATGTGTCTGAACTTGGGCACGGAGTCGAGCAGAAACGAGTCGGATGGCAAGAAGCCCTTGTTCACAAAATAGTGGCTCTCAATGCGCGCAAACGCCTGTGTGGGGGGTGAGTGTTAGCAGGGGAGGTTGGAGTGGCGGTGAGTGGCTTGAGATATGAGATGTGTTTAGAACAGCAGGAGCCCTTGTTCACGAAGTAGTGGCTCTCTATGCACGCAAACGCCTGTGTTGGGGTTAGTGGAGTCGCAAAGGGTGGGTAGAATGACCCTTGGGGAGTCCCATCAATGACAGGAAGCCCTTGTTCACAAAGTATTGGCTCTCTATGCACCTGTGTGGTGCGTGGGTGTGAATGAGTGGGGTTTGTGGAGTCAAAGAACAGTGAGAACACAGTTCAGTTCTTAAACCAGGCTGGATAAGCTAAACCACTGGACCAACAAAGGTGGGAGGAGAAGACGTTTTACGGCGCCTCCGTCAACCAAAAAGCAAAGGTCGAAAAAACAAAGGAACGGATCTGACAGCAGATGACTTGCCAGCGCGAATTTGTCGTCCTCGCCTCGTTTGAGCGAGTCCTCGTTGGGCAGCAGGTAGCTGGTGGCCATCTCCCACTCCGTCCAGTGCCGCGCTGCTGCCACCTGGTAGTGTGTTGGGATTGCAAGAAGGAGGGAGAGGACATAAGCAGCAGCAACAGCAGGAATTAGACAGTTGGGTTGCACAGTCCGAGGTAGCAGGTAGCTGGTGGCCATCTCCCACTCCATCCAGTGCAGCGCTGCTGCCACCTGGAGGAGGGGAGATGTTAGCAAGGAAGGAAGGGAGGCCAGGTGCCAGGTGTCAGATGCCAGGTGTCAGACGCCAGGTGTCAGATGCCAGGTGTCAGACGCCAGGTGTCAGACGCCAGGTGTCAGATGCCAGGTGTCAGACGCCAGGTGTCAGATGCCAGGTGTCAGATGCCAGGTGTCAGACGCCAGGTGTCAGATGCAGGTCTTAGACGCCAGGTGTCAGATGCCACGTGTCAGATGCCAGGTGTCAGACGCCAGGTGTCAGATGCCAGGTGTCAGGAGCCAGGTGTCAGATGCCAGGTGTCAGATGCCAGGTGTCAGACGCCAGGTGTCAGATGCCAGGTGTCAGAAGCCAGGTGTCAGATGCCAGGTGTCAGATGCCAGGTGTCAGATGCCAGGTGTCAGATGCCAGGTGTCAGATGCCAGGTGCCACTCTCAATTTCTGTTCTGAGTCATCCATAACTGCTGGTCAGGCTCAAAATCATCCATACCTGCTGGTCAGGCTCGGAGTCATCCATACCTGCTGGTCAGGTTCGGAGTCGTTCATGAGTCTCTTGTGGTAAGCTGTTACTAGATCGTGCTGCTCCTCCTTGGGAATGAACTCCCGGTACTTGTCAAACGCTGCAAGTGAAGGTGATCGGGGGGAGGGGAAGGGGGTGTGGGGGAATGTGGAGGGGGGTCAAGAGAAGCACAGTTCCGTACGAATGTGCTGCTCCTCCTTGGGAATAAACTCCTGGTACTTGTCAAACGCTGCAACAACCTCTCACCATCAGGGAAGATGGAGTGAGCCCCCTTCTGATAAAACCACTCCACCTCCTTCCTTCTCAGAAGGAAGATTCCCCGAGGAACCAAGCCCGGCTAGCACCCTCTAACCACCCACCTTCCCATCACACTTGTCTTTGTCTCACCATCAGGGAAGATGGAGTCAGCCCCCTTCTGATAAAACCACTCCACCTCCTTCCTTCGCAGCAGGAAGATTCCCCGGAGAATCAAGCCTGCTACCTGCAGGGGTGAGGGGTGAAGAGAGGTGGTGCTTCTGGGTGATTGGAGGGACGCTGGAGGGTGAGGACGTGGAGGCTAAACTTCTCGACACAAGGATTTCCCAAGAGAATGGAGCCTGCTACCTGCAGGGGTGAGGGGGGAAGTGTTAGGGAGGGGCAGTCATGGGGATCGCAGGGGAGATGGAAAATCTCTCAGCAGGAAGATTCCCTCGAATTTTCAAGCCTTCCGGAGGAATGAGAGGCGAAGGATGCAAGGTTTGAGGGAGCAGGTGGGAGTAAGTTTGAGGGGTCTCAAAAGATCATCAACATTTTCCGAGTTCTAGTGAAACAAACACATACCTTTCTGGGTGCATGGATGGCTGCATAGACAAGTGATAGAGTGGAACCCCATGACCCTCCGCCTCCCACCTCCCCTACCCCTCCCCCGCGCACCATTCTCACCATGCCCCATCACACACACATACGCACGTACCCTGTCTGGATGTGTCGCTGCATACACGAGCGATAGAGTGGAGCCCCATGACCCTCCAAACACCTGCCATGCACATGCACACACGCATGCCCAAACACATGCACACACACACACACACACACACACACACACACACACACACACACACACACACATGCCCACACACACACGCAGAGAGGAATAACAGGCGAATGAAACTGAGCTGAGAACCAATCCATCACGCACTGAGGACTTCGCTCAACCCAGCACTCCACTCACTCACCAGCCACTTGTCGACTGCCAGGTGTTTCCTCAGGGTCTCTATATCATCCACCAGGTGCCAGGTAGCATTCTTCACCAGGCACGCGTGAGGTGTCCCAAACCTTTGAAAATTTGGCAATCTACCCAGCAGAATACTCACCAGCCACTTATCGACCCCCAGGTGTTTCCTCAGGGTCTCGATATCCTCCACCAGGTGCCAGGTGGTGTTGTCCTCCAGGCACGCGTGGGGTGTGCTTCTGCCCGCCCCCCGCTGGTCCAGGAGGATGATGCGGAAGAACGTCGGGTCAAAGAACCGCCTGTTGGCCGGGGATGTGCCGCCTCCTGGCCCCCCATGCAAGAAAATGACAGGCTGCCATAGGAAAAACAAGGGGTTTCATAGGGAGAAAGGGTGAGGGGACAAGGGAAAGGGGTGTGCTCCTGCTCCTGCTCCTGCCCGCCCCCCATTCGTCCAGGAGGATGATGCGGAAGAACGTCGGGTCAAAGAACCGCCAGTTGGCTGGGAAGGTACCCCCTACTGTTCCCCCGTGTAGGAATATCACGGGCTGGGTGGGGGTGGATGGAAGAGAAGGGGAGAAGGAAAATGTGAGCTGGTAGGGCCAGAGATATCCTGCCCTTCTCCTCGCAGTACACGGTGTGCACGTTCGAGACAGCAAGCGTGTCGGACCAATACGACTCGATGGGCGCGTACAGCTCAAGCCTCACCCGCACACGCGCACACGCACTCCTGCCACGCTTCCTCTTTCCTTGTAAGGGCTTCATACCTGGCCTTTGGGGTTGCCACTCTCCTCCCAGTAGACAGTGTGCACGTCCAAGACAGCAAGTGTGCCGGACCTATACAGCTCGATGGGCGCGTACAGCTCATGCCTCACCCGCACACGCGCTGCTGCCACGCTCTCTCGTGATTCACGTCAGGGCGCCATTCATACCTGGCCTTTGGGATTGCCGCTCTCCTCCCAGTAGACTGTATGCACATCCGATACAGTAAGGTTGCCGGACTGATAAGGCTCGATGGGTGCGTACAGCTCGTGCCTCACCCGCACTCGCGCTGCTGCCACACTCTCGCCCATCTCCTCCTCCCACACCTCCTCTCCGTTTCCCTCTCCCTCCCCCTCCTTCTCCCCCACTCTCACTCCCTCAATCTGAATGTCCCCCGCTCCGTTGCTCTGCCTTCCCTGCTTTCCCTCTTGATTCCCTTGGCTGCTGAATGCTGAAGAGTGGCCGGCAGCTGCTGCGACGGGCTTGAGAGAGCGAGAACGGAGTGCACCTGAGGCGTGGGTATGGAAGAGAATAATTTTGAGTCGACTAAAAAATAGACTCAATACACGCGGTTTTTGAGTCAACTCGAGAATATTTTTGAGTCGACTAAAAAATAGACTCAATGCTGCGACGGGCTTGAGAGAGCGAGAACGGAATGCACCTGAGGCGTGGATTGGGGAAAAAATGCACACAGCGAGAGCTGGACTTAGAATTCGAACAACTATTGCTACTTTCCAAAACAGGTGAATGGGAAAGCACGTGATGACATTTGAGTCGACTACAGAGAACGGGAAGCACCTGATGCGTTCATTTTGAAGCCCGTACCATTTGCACGGAACAAGAGATGGCATTTCAAGTTCACGGTGGATAGCCAAACGGGAGAACGGGAAATTTGCACGAGTAAGAAGATCGAGGACGAGTTTATGGTTCAGGTCTGAATTCAGCGTTTGAGTGATTTGACGCTATAATAGTTCGCGAATTCGACATCAATCCTAATTTGACTTAATATTTGGATCGCGGCGACCTCGGTTTCACTGCCTAAAATAGGAGCAAAAGGATGAGTACGCACGTCGGACCACATTGAATAATAACAATGGCGAGGATGCGCTCTCCATTTGACAGGAAGCGGTCATCTGACAGACAAAGGAGAGCTAGTGCTGGAATATATAATTTCATTTAAAAAAAATCGCGTCGCGACATAATCCAGGTAAACGAATGTCGCACGGCAGATCCGTTTCACACAGACGGGTTTCGAATGAGTTTCCACACAGTCGCACCTGCTCGGTTGCAAACTGAAGCTCGCTGCAGCGACAGCCTCGCGATTGGGAGACAGTCCCTCTGGTTCTCGGACTGGTATTTGCAAGCAGAATAGAAGCTCTTCTGAACGGTGTGAAGGGATTTCCTGCCGAGTGCGAACGAAAGTTTAACTGCTGCGGGATTTTTAAAAGAGGCAGCGGCAATGGCGGCCATAAATGGTAGCGGCAGCCTACAATTGAGTGCTGACGAATTTCAATGAAAGAATTGGGAGACTGCTGAGCTGAGAGGCCTGGAATTTTCATGGAGAGCAAATGTAGATGTTCCGTAGGCGTAGAAATGAAGCTGGCGCTGTTCCCTGGGCAGACAAGAAACGGTGATCTCGAGAATGGCCACAGTCGGAGGGGAAGGGATAAATTTGGGGAAAATATGTCAATGGTAACTTACATGGGGCACTGTAACGCGTACGGTAACGATTTCAACGCATTTGGTAACTCGCTTAACGCGTTTGGTAACTCGCTTAACACGTTTGGTCACTCGCTTAACACATTTGGTAACTCTACACTAGCAGCCCATCACGCGAATGGTAACTACATGAAATTTGTATCGTTACCGTACGCGTTACAGTGCCCCATGTAAGTTACCATTGACATATTTTCCCATAAATTTGTGCAAATGAGATGTGGTACACTTATGCAGTGCTTATGGATTTCCAAGCTCCGCAAATACTGGTAACTACACTTTTCCCACGGACAGTTCCCTTGGTTTTTCAACACCCTGATTTCGATAAGAATGTAAGCACAGCAGCTTCCTTTCATACACATAAGCACAACACAAACAAACCAGACGGAGAGGCATAATGCCCAACATAATACTGGTAACTATGAACAACATAATTTTATATCTTTTGGTCTTTCACACGTTCGGGGGCGGCCAGATCTTCTTGAAGTGCTTGTCAACCTTCTCCGCCTGAGACACAGCGGAATCAATCTCAGCCTGAAGCAGCTGGCGGGCACAAGGACCAATATTGGCCATGAACCTCGCCATATCCCAAGGCTTGACCTGCAATTTGTTAAAACAAATGGAGTAGCACGATTCCATTTGACGAGAATGTCATAGAACACAGGAAGATGTGAGTGGAATGGAGAACAGGTGCTGGAGTGTACGGGGCTTGGCACAATTACCAAAGCACATGCAATAACAAGGATGATTGAGCCTCGTACCTTGTCAGATGCTGAACTGAGTGCTGCAGGTTTGAGATCAGGAGACGCAGGTGTGTCTTTCAGAGCCTCCAGCACCTTGAGGGGTACCACCAGGTAGTCAGTGCTACACAATCGATTCGAGCAGGGAAAAGAAAGCATTGTAAGGTACGGTAGAGCACACGTAATAGGAGGGAGTGTATTTTAAAGCCTTCAGCACCTTGAGGGGTACCACCAGGTAATCAGTGCACGTGAAACAACACATATAATAATAAGGCAAAGTACGGCGTATGGGACATTGTACACCCCCACTTTGTTACAATTGGGTGCAGATGTGACAGCGGCATATCCAGGGCCGCATGTGTGCATGTGAGCATGTGCATGTGTGTATAGTACCCAAGCAGGCTGAGTGCGTCGTCCTTGCTGCGGATGTTGGATGCCATGACCTTGGTGGGGAAGTTGTTGCGGGCAATAAACGCACACGCACGGCGCACCTGGTGGGGGATGCGAGAAGATGCGATAAGATGAGAAAAGATGAGAGAAGATGAGCCGAGATGGGCAATGGTGAGCATGACAGGGATTGGGGCCGGCAAAACCACAAGGCCGATCCCCCACCAGCAGATTCATCAGGTGCCCGAGGTTGGGATTGGAGCAATGTCATCAGCAAGAGCATGATCGCCTTACCAGGCTGACGCCAGGGTCCTCGCCCTTGGCTTCTGCAGCTTCCACTTCCTTGACAAATGCGATTACGGACAAGACAGGTCGGCTCACAACAAGAGGGGGGAGAGAGACCACAATGCCCAGAGGAGCTATGCAATCAGCAAGTGCATGAGCGCCTTACCAGGCTGAATCCAGGATCCTCGCGCTTGGCTGCTGCCTGCGGGTAATTTTATCGAATTCTAAAACATCACCTACAACAACAAGCTGCTATTTGCACGAGCATGTGCGCCTTACCAGGCTGACCCCAGGGTCCTCGCCCTTGGCTGCTGCAGCTTCCACTTCCTTGTCGCCTGAGTGCGTGCGCGCCCAGTCCTGGCAGGGAGAGGAAGGAGTGGGGAGCGACAGAACTGAGAACGGCAAGAGATCTGATACCACCACCGCTCCTTCCAGTAAAATCCAAAAGCGATTGTTTTCACAGATAATTGCATATAATCCCGGTCCAGGGCCTCTGGACAGGAAGTGAAAAAAAACATGGTAGGTCACGATTGGTCATGAATGTGTTACGTGTCTTCGTAGTACCTTAATTCGACCGACGGGGATTTGAATGACTGCCACGTTCGCTTGCGCGCATGCTGATGCCTGGGCGAAGCTGCAGACGGGGAGAAGCAGAGGAGGAATACTTTGAGTTGACATGAGAAGAGAGAGAGAATACGGACGGGATAAGCGGGGCAGCAGCGACTTAGAGACAAGTAGGTGGTCTAAAATGTGATAGCTGTATGTGCATGACACCTATACCTTGTATGTCTGTTCACCTTGACTATCAATGAAAGGGCCATTAGAGAATACGGACGGGATGGCGGGGGACGAGAGGAATGCGATGCAACCTTTAAAAATTCTGGCGAGGGAGAGGTAATGGAAGCAGAAGAGTAGAAAGAGATGGAATAGTGCTCCCTTTCCTCCCTCACCTGGCAACGCCGGTGACGTGCGTCTTGATGCCCTCTGCTTCCAGCTGCCTCACTGTTCTCCTAACATGCCTGACAAAACATCTAATGCTCCCACTTCCCCCCACCTCCCTCTTCAATCGTCCCTCACCTGGCAACGCCGGTGACGTGCGTCTTGATGCCCTCTGCTTCCAGCTGCCTCGCTGTTCTCCTAACATGCCTGACAAAACATCTAATGCTCCCACTTCCCCCCACCTCCCTCTTCAATCGTCCCTCACCTGGCAACGCCGGTGACGTGCGTCTTGATGCCCTCTGCTTCCAGCTGCCTCGCCGCCTCGATGCCCTCCCACGTGGCGGGTAGCTTGAACAGCACTCGGTTCACACCCACGTCCACCTCCTTGTACAGCTCCGCGAGGTTGCGCACCTGGTAACAGCGAGGGGGCGGGGAAGTGAAGAAGTCCGAGTCTACTCTGCTCTCAAGTGCTTCGAAGCCTTAAAAGGCAGTACGTAGCTTGAACAGCACTCGGTTCACCAGCATCCCCACCGAACCTCACGCACGGTCGCAGACCAAAATGTGCGTCTCACTCACCCTTTCGACCATGGCGGCCGTGTTGTGCGCCAGCCTAGGATCCACCTCGGTAGACACACGCCCGGACACCTCGAGGCTCAGCTCCCTCCCCACGTTCACCAGCGCCTGCACGGATGCGTACACCATACAAGAAACAAAGTACATACGTAAAGGTTCTTGGACCAGTGGTTGTATCTTTGCCAGATTGACCAAGTTTTGACGTCGCAAAACTCAGACTCGTTCATTGTATAACCTTGTCATTGATCAGCTGACATCAAGGCAGTGATGCCATAATAATGCAAACTTCGAGGTTAGGATTCGCCAATAATGGCATGATATCAGTAGCGATTCCCCATAAAATCGAGGCTTTTTCCCCATAGCGAGACTGACCTTATCGAGGAAGCAGGAGAACTTGTTTTCCTCCGGCGCTATCATGCACTTGCCGTACGCCAACGCGCTCTTGATCGCTCCCTGCACGCACGCGCGGGAGTAAGGGGGACCGTCAGTAAGGACGGTCAGCAGTTGCTTGAAAGGACGGCCAGAGACTGGCCGTAGAAATGGCAGATGTACAGTTGGAGGAGAGTGAGCACAGGGTATATGTTCCAAATAGAATCACATTTTATAAAAGCACATCAGAAAAGAAAGGCAATCCTAATCAAGCACAATCACAAACGAACACACCCTCATACGAGCACGCGCACACTCACGTCGAACTTAGCTTCCCCCAAGGAGGAAACTCCGAGGATGAGAGCCGACGACACGGTCGCTGCAGTGGGCTTGAAGCTGAAAAGGTTGTTCACAGTGACACAATTGTAACAAATGGCAAAGGGTTACACATTGTGAGGTATAATATTGCAGATTGACTTGGCAGAAGGTGAACGTAAAACATTGCAGACTGACTTGGCAACATTGTGTCACCTCTCAAATTGGCCGCCGACGATTGAATCGGGAACAATCTCGCTGCTTCTCGAGATCACGTCCAGTTCCGATGGAGACACTGCAAACAAACAAAAGCCAATTATTGAAGTCAATGTTATGAATCACTTCTGTCAGAAGTGATTAAAGTCAAGAAGGTTGCAATGAGCCAGAAATTGCTGGTTCGACAAAAAGCTGGCTGAGGAACCATTTTGTCGCATGGTAAATGAAGAATACTTGACACGCATACCAGCCATAGCGGCATGGATGGAAGCAGAGCATCGTGTTGCGACGCGGCAGCTGACGTTCTTGGAGCCAGAAGCGTAGGCGGTAAGAAGCAGCGGCGACGGAATGAATGCCGTCTTTGACGCCAAGACCACTGACGGCTTCTGCAGCACGCATTTCTTCGAGGAAGAACAATGCGACAAAATCAGCAAAGATATTTGTTTGAATTTTGGTTAGATTTGGGATTAAATGTCGGTATCTTAAAATCACTATTGTACCCAATTGTGATGAGTTTACCTGGTGAGTGGACGTGTTAAGTCTGATGCCGCACGCCACGCTGACAGCAGATGCAGAAGCCATGATGTCCAGGAGCAGTGGCGAATCGTGCAGCCGCTTGGTCGTGTGGAGGGAACGCGACAGGGGAGAAACCGCAAGCAAGGAGCAAACGGAACTAGGAGGAGGAGCTGCTCTTCCACCAGAAGTCACAGATACCCCATAGAAATGATGGATTTCAAGATTGTGCTGGGTTGCTGTGGGCTAAATAGGAACAACTGGAGGCTGCAACTCCAGTTCCTTGTTATCTCGCATGCAGCATTCGTTTCACGCGATATTCACGATTTTGTGTTGTTTCGTTTAAGGAAGAATAGACTGACAGAAATGCTGCCGGCTTTCGCCTGTTACCACGTGAGCGAGGCGCTGCCAGATATTGGAAGTGTTCGGAACTTCAAGATCTGGGACCACCAAGGTTCTAGGACTGTCGATCTCACTGAATGACGTGGCCAATGGAGTCTCGAGGTGGGAATTTTCGCCGACACGATTTCTGACGTATGAAATATGCCAAGTGATCTGGCAAGCTGCCACATAGGAAATGCCCAGAGTTTATCAATATCACAACCTAGCAAGCGTTTCGTATCGTATTATACTTCTGTAGTATCCGTGAGCCATAACCTGATGATAGCCATTCTATATCAGGTATTTCGTTTTCTCGAGTGATGTGACCGAACTGTCACAGCCACGCAGGGGCTCATCAAACTGCTGCCAGCCGTCAGTTCTCCAGGCTCTGGATCTGACATCAGATGGCTAGTGGATTGACTTTGGTCCTCGAACCACTCACACAGCACCATGACACGGCGGACGATCATCCCCGCTGGCGAGACGCATTTGGAAGAGAATTCCATCCGCTAACGTCAACCGTTTACGAACGAACAAACCGGCAGGATGGAATTGCATCTGCCTTCACTATTGGCCCTGAACTTGCCGATGAGATCACATGACGGCCTCCACCTGTCCGTCCGTCATCATCTCCGTCAAATTCTTGGGTTCCCCTTTCGCCCAGAAACCAGCCAGTCGCTGCTGCAGTGACACTTGGCTAGGGGTCTGCACAAGCAGTTTACCACATACACAGTGCGACTACGGTTTCGTCAGTTTTACAAGTTTTCAAAACGATTTAGTGCTTGTTTCAGCGGTTGGGCATGGTGATTCGCCGTGAACACTGCAACCTTCTGCGTCTGTGCTTCAGGACTACAGTTGTGATCCTGAAACATCCTGCATCCATCTAACCAGATCACAGAGAAAGCCACGACCCAGCAGTCGCTGGGATTTCAATCGGGATAAGTTGGTCGTTTCAGTCAAGTGTAAGTTCTTACTGACCAGCAGCAGCCACCCAGCAGTCGCTCCTAACGATTCCCTAAGCAGCCGGCTTAGGTCATCAGGTGCTAAGATCCTGATCGCAGCTGCAGCGTCATCTTCCGACAACCTCCACGACCGATATAATCACAATGGCGACCATCGCAGCTGGGACAGGTACGCTACACACAAACCCCGCAGTATGCGCATCAGTAATACTTCCGTTCCGAGTTTCGCTTATGCGTTCAAGACAAACCCTAAAGTCCGTCTTGGGTAGAGCAGCCCACCAACGCGTAAAATCTTACATTTGCGTCCTGTCATGCTTGCGATTCCATTCTCGTCCAGCTCTCTCAAGCACTCTCACAGCGGATTCCCCCGTTCTACAAACAACCCATGTTCTTCCAATTGTACCATTCCGTTTGACCATCCGTATCCTATCCTTCCATTTCCCTCTCCTTCATGCTGTCCCTCTCAGCCGTTCCCACAGCAGCGCTCACTGCCAGCAGAGCAGCTTCCGCCGCTTCCGCCTCCACGAGCTTCGCCCGCTCCGTCGTCCCCGCGCCTCTCCCCGCTCCCCTCTCCGCCGCTCCCCGCGCGGGTCGCAACCACCTCCTCCGCTGCCGCGCTGCTGCTGTCGAGGACGGTAAGCGCACTTACAACCGCTCGACCGCATTTACAACCGCTCGATTGCATTCACAACCGCTCGACCGCATTCACAACCGCTCGACCGCATTCACAACCGCTCGACCGCATTCACAACCACTCGATCGCATTCAGACTGATGGGAGTCGACCGTTTGAACCGCCGCTCTTCGCTCTTAACTGCGCCAGTACTACATTGTGACTGTTTGCCTGTATTATGCAATATTGATGAATAATTTTCTGTGTGTGTGGATACAGCTTGTTACTCCTGTCTAGCCTCACTCACTTATTGTTTTTATTATTATTCAGGAGCCGTGAAGGAGGTGCCGGTTGAGGCTGAGGAGCTGAGCAATGGCGCAGCTGTGGCCGCGCCGACTGCGGACGAGGTATGTTCCCTCCCACTCCTCGTTCCGTCGCGTTACTTTCCTCTCCTTGTTACCTCGCGTCACTTTCCCTCTTCTCTCCGCATTCCGCCGCGATAATCTCCTCTCCTTGACACCTCTCCTGTCATGCCTCCGTCGTTCCTCCGCGTCATTCCACTCCCCTTGTCCCCTCGCGTTCGTTCTCCTCTCTCTCCCCTTCCGTAGCGTCACATTCTCGTTGCGTTCCGTCACATCCGCTCCTCTCCGTCACCACGTTTGCCTTCATCCCCCCCCGGTCAGATGCCGCGCAGCCGCGGCTGAGGGAGCTGGGCAAAGAGACTCAGTGCCTGCAACTACTAGACTCACTCCATCATGTTTATTCCCCCACGCCCCTTGCCCCATGCCCCATGCCCCATGCCCCATGGCCTGCCCTTTCGCCCGCAGGTGCAGTCGCTGCTGATGGAGCTCTGCGACGAGACTCACATCGCCGAGCTCAAGGTCAAGGTACGGTACCACCGAAGCAGGCACTTAGGTACGGAAGGACCAAATCTAGCACTTGAAGTGCGGTAGGGGTAGGACAGACAGGAAAGCGACGACCGAAGCAAACAGTCAGATACGGGAGCACCGACGCAAGCACGTGAGGTGCGGTAGGGGACGAGGCAGCTGTTCTTCCAGGCACCCTCTTAGCTCCGCTCCCTCTCCTCCACTATCTCCAAATCCACACTTCTGTCAGGTCGGCTCCTTCTCCCTGCACGTGAAGAGGGACGTGGACGGCAGCATCGGCTGCAGTACCCTCGTTCACGCTCCTCCCTCTCATCCCTCTCCGCCCTCTCCTCCCACCCAGGTCGGCGCCTTCTCGCTGCTTGTGACGAGGGACGTGGACGGCAGCATCAGGGAATGCCGTGGCTGCAGCTGCTCTCGAAGTACCCCCCTTGACTCCCCTCACTCTCCTCCACCCTCCCCAAACCCACACCTCTGTCAGGTCGGCGCCTTCTCCCTGCACGTCAAGAGGGACGTGGACGGCAGCATCGGGCATGCCGTGGCTGCAGCTGAAGCCTCCGCCGCGGCCGCCGCCGCCCCTGCGGTGTACGCCGCGCCAGTGCCCGCCTTCCCCATGGCGGAGTCCCTCCCCCCCGCTGCTGCCCCCGAGCCTGTGGCGGAAGTGGCGGCGGAGCCCGCCAAGGCGAGCGACGAGGGCCTTGTCTACGTGACGTCGCCGCGGGTGAGAGAGGAGGAGCGCATTACCCCTTTCGTCCCATATCCTTTCCACTGCTGCGAGACCTCTATCCCCCCCTCCCCCCCCACCCCGCTGCTGCCACGGAGCCTGTGCTGAATTTTGAGTCGTCTCAAAAGTGCTGAAATCGCCTTCTGAGCCCCAGAAGGCGAGCGACGAGGCCTTATCTATGTGACGTCGTCGCAGGTACGAGATGGGTGTCTCACTCCCAATTTCCCATCCTCCTCACCCTCATTCCCATCCCTCTCCCTACCCTCATTGTTATCCTCCTCCCCACCCTCATTCCCATCCTCCTCCCCACCCTCATTTCCATCCTCCTCACCTCACCCTCATTCCCATCCTCCTCACTCACTCTTATTCCCATCCTCCTCCTCACCCTCATTCCCATCATCATCCCACCCTCATTCCCCCACCCTCATTCCCATCCTCCTCCCCACCCTTTTCCACTCCTCCCCACACTTATCCACTCCCGCTCCCTCTATCAGGTGGGCATCATGCGACGTGGCAAGCTGTACAAGGGCAAGCACGGCCGGCCGATTGTGCTCGAGGTACAGTGCGGTGCAGTACGGTGCGGTACATTGGTGTGTGGCAGTCTAGAGTAGGGTCGTGCACAGTACGGTACGAAGTGGCAAGCTGTACAAGGGCACACACAGCCTGCCAGTCGTGCTCGAGGTACAGTGTGGTGCAATGCGGTGCACTGCGCTGGACTCTGGTGTACTAGAGGAGGCTGGCATACCGATTAATCTAGAATGGCATGCTTTGCCAGAGCAAGCGCGGCCCGGCGATTGTGCTCCATATACAGTGTGGTGTACTTACTGCAGCATCAGTTTTTTTGTCGGCTCAAAAGTCACTCCGATTGTTTCCATATACAGTGTGGTGAACTTACTGTGGTAGCAGTTTTATTGACTTTTGAGTTGACTCAAAAGTCAGCAGTTTTTTTGTGTGGTGATGTCTGGAATGAGGGGTGCTTCAATGGAACGACCTGAAAAGGTGCATGCGGTTTGTTATAGCACACATATGCACGCGCACACGTTTGTTATAGCACACATATGCACGCGCACACGTTTGTCATAGCACACATATGCACACGCACACGTTTGTTATAGCACACATATGCACGCGCACACGTTTGTTATAGCACACATATGCACGCGCACACGTTTGTTATAGCACACATATGCACGCGCACACGTTTGTTATAGCACACATATGCACGCGCACACGTTTGTTATAGCACACATATGCACGCGCACTCGTTTGTTATAGCACGCACATGCACGCGCACACGTTTGTTATAGCACGCACATGCACGCGCACACGTTTGTTATAGCACACATATGCACGCGCACACGTTTGTTATAGCACACATATCCACACGCACACGTTTGTTATAGCACGCACATGCATGCGCACACGTTTGTTATAGCACGCACATGCATGGAGCTCGGTACAGCACACACATGCACCTTATCTAATCCTGCACGCTCCTCACCCCGCTCTACCTCATCCCACCCATCAGCCCACCCTCCTCACCCCACCCACCCTCTCCCTCCTCAACCCATTCCTTACCCTCAACCCACTCCACCCCACGCGTACCGACAGGGTGCGGTGGTCAAGAAGGGGCAAGCCGGACAAGCCATTTGCTTATTAGAACAGCTTGGAGCGGCAATTGCATCTTTCCCCCGCACCATGTAACCCCCCTCCTCAACCCACCCCACCCTACTCGTACAAAACAGGGCGCAGTGGTCAAGAAGGGACAAGCCATTTGCTTTTTGGAACAGCTGGGTACCAACCTTGCATCTTTCCCTCTCACTAAGAGATCTCTCTCCCTCGTCACCCCATTCCTTACCCTCCCACCCCCTTCCCTCTCACCCTACTCGTACAAACAGGGTGCGGTGGTCAAGAAGGGACAAGCCATTTGCTTTTTGGAACAGCTGGGTACCAACCTTGCATCTTTCCCTCTCACTAAGAGATCTCTCTCCCTCGTCACCCCATTCCTTACCCTCCCACCCCCTTCCCTCTCACCCTACTCGTACAAACAGGGTGCGGTGGTCAAGAAGGGACAAGCCATTTGCTTTTTGGAGCAGCTGGGAACCAACCTCACGATTGAGGTACGTGTCAGGGTGGGATAGGAGAGAAGACGTATTAATTGGTGGTGCAAGGGGGTGCAAGAGGTCAGAAGACGGTGCACAGGGGTGCAAGGGGTCAGAAGACAGTGCACAGGGGTGCAAGGGGTCAGAAGACGGTGCGCAGGGGTGCAAGGGGTCAGAAGACGGTGCACAGGGGTGCAAGGGGTCAGAAGACAGTGCACAGGGGTGCAAGGGGTCAGAAGACAGTGCGCAGGGGTGCAAGGGGTCGGAAGACGGTGCGCAGGGGTGCAAGAGGGTATATCTGCTGATGCGCCCATGCCAGGACTCAGTGGTCTTCAAGGTGCATTGTCGCACCTGAACCTTAAGGACCACGTTTTCCCTTCTGATGAGGACCTCTGTGGCAAAGAACCGGATCGCACTGTCCCCTTCTTCCCATGGCCATGTTCCTTCCTGTCTTCCCGTCCCCTCTCGCTGTGTGTTCTCTACCCCGCCGCTGTGTGTTCTTGGTGTCCCCGCCCCTCTCGCTGTCTACCCCGCCCCTGTTGTTTCTGTTGTTGCTGCACCTTTGCTCTTTTGTACATCACGTGCTGCTAAGTTTCTTGAAATAAGCGCCCCCTGAACCCTATTTTGCTGCCAAGTTTGTTAACAATAACTGCTCCCTTGTAACGCATTTGTTGCTGTTTTGTTTCTGTACAGACGGAGCATGCTGGCACAGTGGTCGATTTCCTGGTGGACGATGGAGGTGCGTGTTGTGTGCTCCATGCTAGTGGTTGGGTGGGGGATTGGAGGGGAGGAGAGGAAGGAGGAGGGTGGGAAGGGTTGGGGAGCGGCATATATTTTTCAGTCACCCCTGGCGTATGGTGTGAACCCATTGCGTATGGTATGGCATCCATTCCCCCCTTGTCCCTTGTTCACTCCCCCATTCCTCTCTACCCCATCAAAGCTTCGGACGCCTGAAAGAAGGAATGGGTTCGCCGTAGCTCCCTTCTTCTCCTACAACCCTCCCCTTCCCCCACCAACAGTCCCTGTGGGCTACAGTGAACCCTCTTTCCCCTCATACTTTCCTCATCCTTTCCCCTCTTCCCTTCCTCTAACCCTCCTGTCCCACCAACAGTCCCTGTCGGCTACGGTGAACCCCTGGCGGCCATTCGCCCGTCTTTCCCGGGCATCATGAAGCTGACCTGAGTGGGGAGCAGAACCATAAGTTTTGATGCGCACTCGAGAGTGCGCAGTTAAGTCAATACTCCTACATTATGTTACAGTCACAACGAGATGGAAACTTACCGTATGCCTATGACCATGGGTTCTAGCTCGGTCTGACATGATTTTAAGCAATCTCATGCCAGGCCTAGGGGGTCCTTGTTTTTTCCTAGCCAATGTGGGTGTCATTTTTCTGTAAGCCCAGAATGGCCAGAATTGCTTACGTGCGGTGTATTTTTGTAGTTTTTCCATAGCTGTTCTGCGTTACTCTCATGTGGCAGTATTGCACTAACATTCGATTTTAGTTAACAACCAACCAATATACAACACAAAAGTACAAGAAGCTTCTACGTACAAGCAATAATGATAAGTACCACAAATGTGCGAACTCAACACAACACAGCAGGTGAACTTTGCTACACTGCTTCGCACTTGTCTTCAGCGGTTGCAGAGGGGAAGGATTGTTTCCTTTTGTGTGAGAGGAGGGAGAAGGTGGCTTGTGGCATGCAATGCGAACTAGCGCTTTTTGAGTTTAGGATTTGGCTTGAGCAGCTGCTTGACTCCATCTGCAGGGGAAATATCCCACCGCTCCACATGCCTGGTGAGAAAGCAAGAGGAGGGGGCATGGCGGGGTGGACAGGACAGTGTGAATACACTCTCTGAGCTTAAAGTTTGGTTTGAGCAACTGCTTGATGCCGTCTGCAGGGGAAATGTCCCACCGCTCCACATGCCTTGTGAGATGGAGAGGCAGAGAGACAATTGGGACAGGACAGGACTAGGGATGGAGAGACTGTGTGATTGCGACTGCACGGCAAGACAACGGCAATTTCCAAGCAGGGAAAGACTGAGTGTTTCTTGCTTACTTGTATATTTTTCCTGTTGAATCGCTGAAAAAATGGTCTGTAGACCCGGATGCTGTGTAGGGAGGAAGAGAAAGAACGGCGGGAAGGGCAGGTAGAGAGGATAGAGGAGATTGCAGATGACAGGGATGGACAAATAGAAAGACAGACAGACGGAGACACACACACACACGCACGCACGCACGCACGCACGCACGCACGCACGCACGCACGCACGCACGCACGCACGCACGCACGCACGCACGCACCCACCCACCCCCCCCCCCCCCCCCCCCCCCCACACACACACACACACACACACACGCGCGCGCGTGCGCATGCACGCACGCACGCACACACACACACACACACACACTCTCTCTCTCTCTCTCTCTCTCTCACACACACACATCTCTCTCTCTCTCTCTCTCTCTCACACACACACATCTCTCTCTCTCTCTCTCTCTCTCACACACACACATCTCTCTCTCTCTCTCTCTCTCTCACACACACACACACACACACACACAGACACACACACACACACACACACAGGAGCTACACTAGGAGGAAGACATGAGTACTAGAAAGAGTGTGAATGAGCAATGCCACTCACCACCACAGCGATGCGAAGGAGAGGGCTTACCGGCAAGAATGGGGCGCCATGGGAGGAGAGGGCTTACCGGCAAGAATGGGGCGCCATGGGAGGAGAGGGCTTACCGGCAAGAATGGGGCGCCATGGGAGGAGAGGGCTTACCGGCAAGAATGGGGCGCCATGGGAGGCCCAGCACGCAGCTGAATCTCCACTTGGTGGTAACCGTACCCTGCGGTTACAATGACAAGAATGAGACATTAGCAATGCAATATAGCAGTGAACATGAAATGAAAGAAGACGTTAGTCAAAGGGAGGGGTTGTGTAATCACAGCGAGACTTTTGAGTCGACTCAAAAGTCACCTGGAGGGGTTGTGTAATCACAGCGAGCTTCAAAACAGTGTAATCAGAATAAGATACCTCTGACTCCTGCCAGTCAAGAATCTTCAAGGAAACTTCCTCCATGAATGACCCGAGGTTGGACACGTTCTGCTTGAAGCGATCTCGACCGTTGAACGACACGAAGGGGTCGGCGAACTCGCAATCTGGTTCGTACAGCCACATGGTCATCTCGCCTGATGGGCAAACGCGGGAAAGTAGGCATGGCAGGCGTGGGGAGGGAAGGGGAAGAAGTTAGGGGGGGGGGGGGGGGGGGGAAGGTTGGGGTGGGGGGGTGTTGGAGCCGTGAAGGAGGATATGGAGAGCAAGTGGCTCGTGAAAACGACATAAGATACGCGGAGGATTCACATGACCAATATTTATCTGCCACATGCAGGACCACCAATCCCCATCTGCCACGTATCACCTGTCACGAAGTATGACTTGTCATAGTCCTCCCTGAGCGCTTTAATCGCCGCGTCGCGCTCAACCACCGCCGGCTCCCCTTCCGCCGTTCCGCCCTTCCCCTTTCCGCCTTCCGCTTCCCCTCCGCGCACCGCCGCCACTGCCTTCCCGAACGCCTCTGATGCATACCACGCGAAGCGCACCAGCGGAGAGGTTTCCGCCGTCGGCCCCGCGCGCTCCTCCCGCTTCCCCCCTGCGCTCTTCCCCGCGCCTTCCGATTCCCCCGCGGATGCGCGGATGACGCTCCGCCGCCCGCCTGACAGCCTCGGCGTCGCTGTGCCGCAAATACCGGCGGAAAATCCGCGGGAGAATGCGGCTTTGCTGGTTAGCAACGATGCTGGAGTCGCCATGCCGTCGAAGCCGCTGGATTTCGGTCCTGCTAAGAGGACGCGCGGGGTGCTTCTAGGAGGTGTAAGACGGGTTAGCGAAGAACTCTGTAGCGAGTCGATGGGCAACAAATTGGACGGATAGGTCGTCGCGAAACGAGTGACGGCGACGCCTGCTGCCGCCATGCCTGCCAGCTGAGTTGTGAAAGTCAGGGGCTGACGGAGACTGTCAAGTACGTTGTCGGGTGCGCGGGAACTAGCGTAATCTGTGGGATGTAGGTGACGAATTCTGGGAAGTGACAGCGGTGGATGCTGAAGTACTGACAGCAATTTAGGGGTGATTGACAGAGTTCTGCAATTTAATACGCGTTTGAAGTAGCTCAGCTCATGTGTTTCTAACGGTGTGAGCATGACCACTCAGAGTAGAGTTGATATTATTGAAAGAATGGTACAACTCTGACTAATGCTACAACAATTGTCCATGTAGAAAGACTAGTTTATCAGGGTTAACATGATAGGCCAGTTATGCTCAACCTTCACAATCTCGACCCAGAAGTTCATTGGTAGACCACTCTGCGTCTCAGCCTCGACCTAAGCTCAGCATTCTCCTGCAATAATAGAAAGCAGAGGCAACAAACCCATTAGCAGCAACTACATGTTATGATAAGACCGCCAGAAGTACGGTGTGGAAAAACAGGAGCCGCGCGCATTCAAGCGTAAATATTCAGGAGTAAAAAAGTACCCACCTTTGTAAGAGCAGCAATTGTGGCCTCCAACGCCTCATTCTCCACAGTAAGTGCTGCTTCGCGCCCTTCCAACCCCTGCATGTGAAGGATTTAAGTAGGCATTAGGTGCTAACAATTGGCACTCACCGTTGCAAAACGTCCAGCCCAACACCCTCCCAGAACGAATAAAAACTGAGAAGAGACATAAAGAGGGTTGCAATGCTAACTCATATCACTAGTGTGCGTCAGGTTTGAAAAGAACAGTAGTGCTCACATTGATGTAGTGCTTCTTCTTCTCTCTAGCTTGTTGAGCACTGACTCTGTTGCGGAGCAACCTGTAACGCAAGTAATCAGATGGACCAATCATCGCACATCCAGATCCCACAACCATATCCACACCACAGGCAAGCATCAAGGAAACCCTAGAAGTTAGTGAATAGTTTCTGCAAGCGTTAGCTTGGAGTGAAGGCGCTTTCGAAGTGGGTCTGAGATAGGTGAAGGGAAGAGATGTTCCTACGTTACAGGACAGGCGGCTTGGGAAAGGTAAATGACGAGGTGACTTGGGGTGGACTTGAAACTCTTCCCGAGTTTGACGTCACATCGACGAAAGAGTCGCGAGAATACCGACGGACACTCAAGACGTTCAGAATGAGCTTCAAACTTTGCGGAGTTCACTAGAACACGCAAACCCACCTTCTTCGCTTCGGATCGACTGTCGGCGGAATACTCGCAGCAGCGGACGGCACCGCGGAAGGCACAGCGGAAGGGACGACGGGGGATGAAATCGCAGCAGGAATACGCGGAACAGGCGGGAATAGGACCGCGGGAGTCGCATCATCGCGGTCTCTGGGTAGCGAAGGATGAATGGCGAAACGACACGGGCCGTCGAGATCGGGAGCGAGGGAGAGCGACGGACGGCCGGGCGCAGCTGGAAATGTGGGAGCGGTTTCCACGGAAGTGGCAGGTCGTAGCGGAACGGACGGTGACGACGGAACGAGCAGGTCCGCAGGAGAACCGGCGCGATCGGCGCGCGACGGGACGACAGCACACGGCTCATTCGCCGCGACGGCGGCGGCGAAATCGGGATGATCCTCGAATTCCAAACCTCCGCCGAGCGTGCTCGGGTCGGCAAGAATGTCTCCTCCCTTTCTCTTCCCCGTCACCTTCGCGTGTGCGACACCCGGCGACTTCACGTTTCGTCCTGCGACCGATTGCGAGCTTCGCCCTGCGATTGACTGCGCGCCGATTCTTCCTGCGAGCGCCTCTCTCGTCGCCGCTACTCGAGCTTGCCTCGCCATCGCTGCGGCTTCCGCGTGCCGCTGCTTGTAGAAGTGATGACTGTAGAGCGGATGATGAGATGGATGAGATTGGTAGTACGCCGCGTGATACGGGTTCGCCATTGGAGGATAGTCGGCCGCCGGATGACGGTAGTACTCCGAATAGAACACGTCATCACGCGTCACGTGCGGCGCGAGATCAGAAATCGCAGTCGGTTCCAGAGATAATTGCAAGTCGGCGTTTCGCACATCGGTTGTCGCCTCCGCCGCGGAGTCAAGCTTTGGCTTGAACTCAAGATCAGGGAATCCCCAGGAAAGCTCGTCGAATAAGGGATCGCCACCGCTGCTGCTGCCAAACCCCGCGTTGTCGCCTCCCGCCTGCTGATCAGCACCGTCGATCTCGACATCTACCGGGCTCTCGTTGAAAAAAGGCGTGGGGATGTGACCCATACTGTCCCGATCGGACCGGCCGGTGCGGCGGAGTCTCTTCGTGGGCCCTGATGCTGCGGCGGCATGGAAAGTTGAACGATGTCGAGCGGACGGCGGAGGGGGGAACCCGTAGCCTGGATGCGCCGCTGCGTGCGCCGCTGCAAGCGCCGTTCCGTGCGCGGATGTGTGCGCGGACCCGTGCGGAGGCATGTGTGGCGGAAGGTGCATGTGCATGGCTGCGCCGTACATGGGGGGAAACGGCGCGCCGAAGTGATACGACGCTTGGCCGCCGTAATCTGCGTACGAGAAAAGAAGGAAAGACGGAAGAATGAAACGCAGAGAGAGGGCAAGAAAAGCGACACATCAGGCATGAGGCAAGCAGAATACGTGGCATCACGGTGGAGCACGTGTGAAGTGGTCAGGGTCGCACAGATGACGGGAACGGAACATTAAACTGTCTGTGGAAAAAGAATGCATCGTGTGAAATAACAACATAAAAGATTTGTGAGGATCCAGTTCAGGAACACGCACTTGCGAAAGGATAGTGTCCCGTTAGATACGATGGGATCCCGTGAGTCATGCCGGGGAAGCCGGCTTCGGACGACGACTCGCACACGTTCATATCGCGGATGCTCTCTCCTTTGAACGATATGAGTAGAGTGGAGAGGTAGGAGAAGATGAAGTTCGACACGACAATCGTCCGTACTGTCTAGACCGCTATGTGAAAAGTACACCTAGTGAAAACGCGAAGAAAGGGTAGGTAATCCACAGCCTCTCGTACGATTCACGAACTGAAACCCAACGATTCAAAACTACGAACAGAAGGAGAGTAAGTGGAATGGGTGGAACGAGTGGAAATGTGATGGGTGGGTGGGTGTGCGGCGGTGTTTGCGCCAGCAATCTCTCCCCTCACACATATCTCGTCCCTGTTTGTCATCCATTCGCCCCAAGCAGTCTGCCATCCCACCAATCTGCATCATTTCTCCAGCCCTCACTCACCCCCACTCCCCCCTCCTCCCGGCCTCCTCCCATCCCTCATCTCTTCCTCCTCTCCACCAGTCACACCAAGCGACAGGACCTGCCTCCCTCCTTACCTCCTCCTCCCCCCCCATATCTTGAGAGCCAAGGAAGTCCTCCAAACAAATTCGTGTGAATGGGCCTGTGGTGCACTGCACAGTTGATCCCCACCCCAATTCAACGACTGTGTGAAGCAGATCCGACACCCAAACGTCAATACAGGGTAAAAAACCACGAGCAAAGAAGACCATCGAACCCCATCGAGTCTCAATACCTTGGGCAAACACAATCATCCCTTCGCACCTACAAATCGAATCTGCCAGCTGAGAGGCTGCGTTGACTGAAGCTGGGAGAAGCGATTAAACTTCATGTTTCTGCCACCTCAACCAGTAAGTTCTGTTAAACATGCCTCAGAAAACAACTTTGTGACGGGCTTTTGAGTGGAAGGAAATGCACACGACAATAATTTTACAGGAACGAGAAGTTTCGGAAGTCTTGTTTCCGTGGTGTTCTACGGTTCATCCGCCCACGAGATTCCGAAGGCTCAGCCAAAGCCAACCAATCCGTGGCGCGTAATGCCAGATTTTACAGCCAGCTAGCGATTCTGTGCACAGCACGGCGTATCCTCTACTGAAATCAATGTCATTATCCGAAGGGCTTGTGTGGACAAGAGTCGTCCACCGCGCGCCACCAGTCACCGATCAACATTTGTCAACGATCTGGCTGTAGGCTGTAAATTGCAGCCGAGCATTTGAAAACCACATCATAAATGCAGGCTTCACACCTCCTGTACAGCGTACAAGGATATCAATAGCCATGGTAGAATCATCACAGTCGAAGTTAAAATGTTATAGGCTCAAAATATAATGCTTCTGTTTGGCGCTTCTTCATGTTCCGCCCTTTATAATACTCCACGCAGATGTACGGGAACAACGGAGCTTTATGAATTTCCATCCATCGTGCCTTGCTCATATTTTTCCTGCAAAACATACCTACTATGTGGAGGCTCCTTGCTTATCACCCCATAGAGTTCCGTCTATGCCACGAGTTCATCTGCTCACGAGCAACACGAGCTATGCCATTCCTCTGCTCCGCCTTCACCCCATCGAGTTCCGTCTTTGAGCAGCAGATTCCAAATACAAGGATACACCTGGTAACTTTGCTTCATCATTCGGACTCACACCCATCTTCCTTATCAGCTGCAAGTGCAAAAATGACATACCAGTGATGCATGAATTGAAAAGGTAAAATGTGACTGACATTTGGGCAAACATGTGGAAACAAATACATCACGAAAATAAGTGACAAACAGTGCAGTGCGTTCGCACCTTGGACGCCCAGTGCCGCTCAGTTTGCTCACAGACATCGCGAATATCTCTCCCAGACATGCTGCAAGCATGCGAAGAAAAGGAGAGGGGAGAGAGAAAAAAAGCTGTGTGCCCATGCAAGGACTCCTCCATCCTCTCGTGTGAGGTGGCGGGTGTGTAAACCAATGAAGCGGGGTGACTCAAAGAAAAAACCATACAATTACTTACCGCATGCGCATGCCGTGCAAGTCGTGCTGAGTAATGATCGCACGCCAATGTGAGCGTCAAGAAAGATATTATGGAAGGGGATAAACAAACAATGAACTCAGGCACTCACTTGTCGCATGCCTTTGCAAGGGTTTCTCTATCCTCCGGAGTGAGGTGGCGTGCGTATTGAGCGATGATCAGAGCCCGGGTGTGTGCGTCTGGGAGGGAGAATGTAATAGCTGCATCAAAGCGGCTGGACAATTTGGTTGGGACATGGGTGGGGCATAAGGAAGGCACGAAAGCGATACTAGTGGAAGAGTTGTGATCAGTGCTCGTGCGTGCATCTGGAAGGGAGAACGTGAGAGCTGCATTGAAGCGACTGGACAAGATGGTTGGGGCATGGATGGGGCATGGAATGAGACGACTTTTGTGTTGCCTCAAACCTCGGGCATGGATGGGGCATGGATGGGGCATGGATGGGGCATGGATGGGGCATGGATGGGGCATGGATGGGGCATGGATGGGGCATGGATGGGGCATGGATGGGGCATGGATGGGGCATGGATGGGGCATGGATGGGGCATGGATGGGGCATGGATGGGGCATGGATGGGGCATGGATGGGGCATGGATGGGGCATGGATGGGGCATGGATGGGGCATGGATGGGGCATGGATGGGGCATGGATGGGGCATGGATGGGGCATGGATGGGGCATGGATGGGGCATGGATGGGGCATGGATGGAGCATTGTTTCAGTAGTTTCAGAAGCATTACTTCTGGAGCGCTTTTGTGAACAGGAATAGCGGTTATGCAATGCCATGGGAAAAAGATTCACGCGATGAAGGCCGGATCCAGGCAATCCTTTCTGTTGGTAGCAGCAATAACCACGCTTCAGGCGACTAAAATATCTAGGTAATTCTTGTCATTACCCACAATGCAACAGGTATCACCTGATGAGAGCCGGATCCAGGTCTTCCTTTCTGTTAGTCGCAGCAATGACCACGATGCCCCGATCCCGCTCAAACCCATCCATCTGCAACCAGCGAGAGGAATGGAGCAAGGGGTGTGTAGTAGGTGAGAGATAACACACATCTTTGACAATTCTAAAAAACCAACATGAAGTAGGTGAGAGATAACACACATCTTCCTCAGCAGCAGAAAGAGATCACGTTGCCGCACCTTTTGAGGAAGATGTGTTGAAGGAGATCAGCACCTTTTCCCCTTCAATCCCGTGTCTTTATCCCATGCCTTCCTCAGATTGCAGAACGGGAGGGAAAGGGAAATGCAGGTGCGCAAGAGGACACCGACGGTGGTGTTTATGTGAACAACCTCACCGATCAAATGCTTTGCTGACATCATGAAGCTTATCCAAGACGTGGGATGGCAACCTGGGAGATTCGTAGCCTGCCAACCCACGTCTTGAATGAGCTTCATGACGTCAGCAAAGCATTTGACCGGCTGATCGGTGGGGTTCTTCACATGAACACCACCGTCGGTGCCCGCATAGAACTGAGTTGACTTTTGAGTCGACTCAAAAGTCACCGTCGGTGCCCGCATAGAACTGAGTTGACTTTTGAGTCGACTCAAAAATCACCGTCGGTGCCCGCATAGAACTGTGCCGTGGCATAGAACTTGCCGCGTGGCTCAAGAAACACACCGCTCTGACTAGCACGGACAGGAGTCACCGCGTGGCTTCATGCATGTCACTGTCCCTCGCTGTTGCCAGTGCTGTCATGCATGGCACTTAGAAACACCAAGTCATTTGAACTCACCCAGGGCATATGAGCTGCTTCAAGAAACACACCTCTCTGAGCAGCACGGACAGGACTCGCCGCGTGGCTTCATGCATGTCGCTGTCCCTCGCTGTTGCCAGCGCATCCACCTGCCACGTGCACAACAACCTAGTGCTGAAGTCATGTAATGAAAAAGAGTCGTCCCCCCTACAGCCCTCTCATCAACCTCAATCCGCACCTCATCTAGGAACACGATGCTGCCCCCTGGGTGCAGCTGATTGGCCCTCAGCTCCTCCAAACCCTCCCCCCTGCCCCCCTGCCCCCCTCCCCCACTCCCCCTTAGCCCTCTCTCACGCCCCCTCAACTCTCCTCATAAAGGGACACGATGGCGCCACCTGGATGCAGCTGATTGGCTGGCTCCACCACTTACCCCCCTTTTTCCCCATCCCTGCTTTTCCCACCTCCCTTCATCCCCACCCCCACCCACCTCATCCAGGAATATGATGGCGCCACCTGGATGCAGCTGATTGGCCCTCGTCCCCTCCATCCCCTCCCCCCTGCCTCCTGCCCCCCTCCTCATTGCCCCCATCTTAACCCCCCACACACACCTCATCAAGGAACACGATGGCGCCACCTGGGTGCAGCTGATTGGCCAGCGCAAACACGTTCGACAGCTGGCGCTCGCTCTCCCCATAGTACTTGGATGCTACAGACTCGAGGGGAACGTACACCAGGGGCACGCTCTGAAGGGGGGAAGGGGGAGAGGAGGGGAGGGAATGTGAGCGGTAGAATACAGCAGATGGGTCCACAATGGGGACAGATGCAGCTCACTCTCCCCATAGTACTTGGATGCCACGGACTCAAGAGGCACATACGCCAGGGGCACGCACGCCCTGATGTGAGATGGGAGAGGGAGGAGAGCATACTGGCGCTCGCCCTTCCCATAGTACTTGGATGCTAAGCGGCACGCTAAGTTGCGGAAGACGCAAGACGCACATTTAGACGCAAGACGCTTGGCCAAAAAAATTTCGGGCAGCCCGAAGAAAAAATTTCCCCGCGCGCGAAATTGAATTTCGCCATTTCGACGCGAAATTCAATTTCGCGCCATTCAAGCCCCTCCCCACCTATTTCGACCACATAAACAAGCCCCCCAAGCAAATTTGAATCCCCCCCAACCAAAATTGAACACATACCACACTTCACCGCATATTATCTAGAAAACCCAACCTCTATGGTTAACCACCAAGAGGTTGGGGAGCACAAATCCCTCATTTGTGCTCCCCAACCTTCATTTCTTTCAAATCTCTTTCGAAAACCCTTAGGGTTTACCTCTTTCCACCGCGCAACCATGTCCGCGTAGTGATTGCAGAGAGATGTAGTAGTAGTAATGGTCTTCGAGGTTGCTACTACTAGAGAGACATGGAAACTTAACTATATATGATGATATGTGAACTTTTTTGTGAAGTCTAAAAATGGGGAAAAAAAATATGGCACGGGGAAAAATGCACCCCATTGTGACATAGGTGCATGTTCCCCACCCCCCCCATCCCCCTTAGAACTTTTTTTGGTCTGCCCGAACGATTTTTTTAGGCCTGCCCGGGTTTTCGTCTAATACTGCGTCTAATCCATGCTGCCTAGCGTCTAGCGTCTTAGACGCTGCGTCTAGACGGACGCGTCTAAGACGCTAGACGCGTCTTCCGCAACTTAGGCGGCACGTACACTAGGGGCACGCTCTGGTGGGGGTGTGATGCGAAAGGGGAGGGAGGGAGGGAGGGAGATAATAAGAGGCAGCAGCACAACCAAACACGGTCGAGAGTTGGCGCTCGCGCTACCTTTTTTGAAGCGCCTCAAAACTAGAGTTGGCGCTCGCGCTACCCCTAGTACTTGGCTGCCACTGACCCGAGAAGCCACGTGTATAAAGTGAAGGTTTGAGACGTCTCAAAACTTCACTTTATACACGTGTTTTGAGACGTCACAGAACTTCACTTTAAACACGGATGCCACTGACTCGAGAGGCACGGCACGTACACCAGGGGCACACTCTGCCAGCTGAAGGGGGAAAGGCGGGGGAGAGGACGATATGTCAGCTGGTGCTCGCTCTACCCATAGTTCTTGGATGCTATAGATTCTAGTGGCATGTACACCAGGGCAGGGCAGGGCAAGGCATGGTGTGGCATGGCATGGCAGCCGGCATGGGATGGCATGGCATGGCATGGCATGGCATGGCATGGCATGGCATGGCGGATGCATGGAACTCACCGCTCTTTTGGCCATGGCTCTTGCACACGAGGTCTTCCCAGTGCCTGGTAGGAGTGAAGGGTGCAAGGTACAGGAGGAAAGAAGAGGGTCAGGAGGGAGAGGAGAATTGGCAAAAGGAGAGTAGAAAGAGATGCAGTGAAGCTGTAAAAGCCTTGGAGCCCAGAAGTTTTTTCTGAAAGACTGTTGATCAGCAGGCGAGGCGGGCCGTCGAAAAGTACGGCACGGGGCCAGTCGAACTCATAGCGTGCGCGTGGCTCATGTGTGTGATGCCACACCCGCTATGGCTCATGGCGCGTGGCTCATGTGTGTGATGCCACACCCGCTATGGCTCATGGCGCGTGGCTCATGTGTGTGATGCCACACCCGCTATGGCTCATGGCGCGTGGCTCATGTGTGTGATGCCACACCCGCTATGGCTCATGGCGCGTGGCTCATGTGTGTGATGCCACACCCGCTATGGCTCATGGCGCGCGGCTCATGTGTGTGATGCCACACCCGCTATGGCTCATGGCTCATGGCTCATGTAACGTTACATGCGCACATGGCGCGTGGCTCATGTAACGTTACATGAGCACATGCCGCGTGGCTCATGTAACGTTACATGAGCACATGGCGCGTGGCTCATGTGTGTGATGCCCCACACACATGAGCCAAGTTACAAGGAACATGCGATGCCACGCCAGCACCACAGGCCCCTCACAACCCCCCAATATCCTCAAGAGCTCACATCCTCACCTGGCGGGCCATCAAAGAGCACAGCCGGGGGACGGTTGGACTAGAAGTGGGTGCGCGTAGCCCTGGCAATGCCGCCAGTACCACAAAAAGGGCCCCAAACCCCCCACTTCCTCACAGCTTTACCTGGCGGGCCGTCAAACAGCACGGCACGAGGGCGGTTGGACTCAAAGTGGGTGCGCGTGGCCCTGGCAATGCTGTCGTAGACGTCAGGGCGGAGTAGCGCCAGCAGCACCGTGTCCTCTATCTCCCTGGTGGGGGCAGAGAAGACGGGATGAGCGGAGGGAACGGGAGGAGCACATGGGTAAAGTGAGTGCGTGTGGCTCTGGCAATGCTGTCATACACGTCAGGACAAAGCAGGGACAGCAGCACCACGTCATTTTCTACCGTTTCTGCTCCTCGTATCCAACCAGGTTGCCCCAATGTGTTTGGAGTCGACTCAAAACACACCAAAGAACTGCTTCTTACCGTTTCTGCTCCTCATATCCAACCAGGTTGCCCCAATCCATCCACCTCCTCTCATCCCCCTTTTCCTCCTCCTCCTCCTCCTCCTCCTCCTCCTCCTCATCCCCATCCTCCCACTCCCCTTCTCCCCTCGCACCCCCTCCCTCCTCTCCTCCAGGAGCATAAACCATCACTCCCATGCGCTGAAGCTTCTCGGCAATTGCCTGATCCATGCCGGTGTGCCTCTCCCCACCACCACCACCACCACCAAAGGCACCCCTGCTGCTGTAACCACCACCACCACTGTCACCACCATAGTAGCTTCTCCTCCCATCGCCGTGCCCACTGCTGTAACCACCACTGCTGTAACCACCACTGCTGTAACCACCACTGCTATAACCGCCACTGCTGTAATTACCACTCAAGCTCTTGCCGCTTGTGCTTCTGTCAGGAGATTTGTCAGGAGACGGCAACAGAGAGCCACTCCTGTTGGCATGGCCACTACCAACGCCACCACTGCGGCTGCTGCCACCTGGCCCAGACCGCGGCTGAGGCCGGAAGGGTGCTGAGCTGTCGATCGCTGCTTGGACGGTGCTGACTATGATGTCCAGCTCCGAGGGTGTGAAAGCGCCTGGCTTGAGAAACTCGATCTCCTGAGAGGAGGAGGAGACGGCGAGGGAGAGGAGACGTAAAGCGGAAGGAAGGAGGAACGCATGAATATGGGTGAGCCGGGTTGGTGACTTTTGAGTCGACTCAAAAGTCAACTGAGAGGAGGAGACGACGAGGGAGAGGAGACGTAAAGCGGAAGGAAGGAGGAACGCATGGATAAGGTTGAGCCGGAGCAATTCAGACGCAATTCAGGAAGCGCCTAGGAAATAGCCCGAAGAAATGCTGAAGACTTTGCCTAAACATAACCGGAAAGTCGGCAAAAAACAGGCCGTAAAAAGAGGTGTTTCTTACAAAAGGGCCCTTATCCAGATGGCAATTTTCAAATCGACTCAAAAGGAAGAGAGGGGCTTACAGGAGTGCCCAGCCCCACGAGGGGCTCTCAAACAGCAGCACCTTCACAGCGCCCCAACCCGCCACCCAGGGATCGCAAGTATGGAAGAGAGAGCTACAGCAAGCCAAGCAACTCACAGGAGTGCCAAGTCCCACGAGGGGTTCGAACAGCAGCACCTTCACAGCGCCCCCACCCGCCACCACCACCAGCTCCGTTGAATCCACCTGAGGATCCACATGAGACTCCACCTGACCCCCGGCCACCTTTTCACCCTGCTCAGATTCCTTCTTGGCGTTTGCGCCTTCGTGCGCTTGTGCTGGCAGGTGCGAGTGGGGGAGCAGGGGCATGAGTACCATCTGGCGAGCCACAGGGCTGAGAGGTCAGGGGGGGAGGTGGGGTCAGTGGGAAAGGGGGAGAATGGACGGGGGTGGTGTGGACAGGTGCGCGTGGGGGAGCAGAGGCATCAGCACCATCTGGCGTGCCACAGGGCTGAGAGGTCAGGGGGAGACGGAGGAGGGGAAGGGGGAAAAGGCGGACGAGAAAGGGGGGGAATGGCAGGTGGAAAGGGGGGAAAATGGATAAGGGTAGCACTGGCAGCTGGGCGTGGGGGAGCAGGGGCATGAGCACCACTGGGTGCCACAGGGCTGAGAGAAAGGGTATGGGGAGACGGGGAAAGGAGGAAAGGGAAACGTGGGAAGCAGGAGCAGATGGGGAAGTGGATGGGGCCCATGGCAGGTGCGTGTGGGGGAGCAGCGGCATGAGCACCAGCTGGCGTTCCACAGGGCTGAGAGAAAGGGTATGGGGAGACGGGGACAAAGAGCACCAGCTAGCAAGCCACAGGGCTGAGAGGTCGGGGGGGGGAGGAGGAGGAGGAGGAGAAGGGGGAAACAGCAAAGGGAACGGCAGGAGGGAATGGCGGAGAATGGATGGGGGCAGTATGGGAAGGTGCGCGAGGGGGAGCAGGGGCATCAGCAGCATCTGGCGAGCCACAGGGCTGAGAGGACAGGGAGAAAGTTGGGTTCACTGGGAAAAAGGGAGAATGGACGGGGGTGGTGTGGACAGGTGCGCGTGGGGGAGCAGAGGCATCTGTACAAGCTACCGAGTCACGGGGCTGTGAAGGAGGCTTGAAGAAAACGTGGGAAGCAGGGGAGTGGCAAGCGGAACGGGGGGAGATGGATGGATGGGCAGGGCAGGTGTGCGTGGGAGAGCAGGTGTGCGTGGGAGAGCAGGTGTGCGTGGGAGAGCAGGGGCATCAGTCCCATGCATACACCGCCATGCTGCCAGCCCCCACAACAAGGCCCCCCACATCATCCACTAAAGATGGCCTTCTCTGCCCTGCACTCCACTCCCAGGCACGGACGAGTCGAGGGACTTCCCTCACCTGCCGTGACTCATGACTCTTCCCTCGCCTACCGTGACTCATGACTCTTCCCTCGCCTACTGTGACTCATGACTCTTCCCTCGCCTACTGTGACTCATGACTCTTCCCTCGCCTACTGTGACTCATGACTCTTCCCTCACCTACTGTGACTCATGACTCTTCCCTCACCTACTGTGACTCATGACTCTTCCCTCGCCTACTGTGACTCATGACTCTTCCCTCACCTACTGTGACTCATGACTCTTCCCTCGCCTACTGTGACTCATGACTCTTCCCTCGCCTACTGTGACTCATGACTCTTCCCTCGCCTACTGTGACTCATGACTCTTCCCTCGCCTACTGTGACTCATGACTCTTCCCTCACCTACTGTGACTCATGACTCTTCCCTCGCCTACTGTGACTCATGACACTTCCCTCACCTACTGTGACTCATGACTCTTCCCTCACCTACTGTGACTCATGACTCTTCCCTCGCCTACTGTGACTCATGACTCTTCCCTCGCCTACTGTGACTCATGACTCTTCCCTCGCCTACTGTGACTCATGACTCTTCCCTCACCTACTGTGACTCATGACTCTTCCCTCGCCTACTGTGACTCATGACTCTTCCCTCGCCTACTGTGACTCATGACTCTTCCCTCGCCTACTGTGACTCATGACTCTTCCCTCGCCTACTGTGACTCATGACTCTTCCCTCGCCTACTGTGACTCATGACTCTTCCCTCACCTACTGTGACTCATGACTCTTCCCTCGCCTACTGTGACTCATGACTCTTCCCTCGCCTACTGTGACTCATGACTCTTCCCTCGCCTACTGTGACTCATGACTCTTCCCTCACCTACTGTGACTCATGACTCTTCCCTCGCCTACTGTGACTCATGACTCTTCCCTCGCCTACTGTGACTCATGACTCTTCCCTCGCCTACTGTGACTCATGACTCTTCCCTCGCCTACTGTGACTCATGACTCTTCCCTCGCCTACTGTGACTCATGACTCTTCCCTCGCCTACTGTGACTCATGACTCTTCCCTCCCCTACTGTGACTCATGACTCTTCCCTCGCCTACTGTGACTCATGACTCTTCCCTCGCCTACTGTGACTCATGACTCTTCCCTCGCCTACTGTGACTCATGACTCTTCCCTCGCCTACTGTGACTCATGAATCTTCCCTCGCCTACTGTGACTCATGACTCTTCCCTCGCCTACTGTGACTCATGACTCGTGGTCCCTTGCTCTCTCGCCCTCACGGCCTCACCTGTCCCATGCATACACCGCCATGCCGCCTGCCCCCACCATATCCCCCACATCATCCACTGAAGACGCCTTTTTCTGCACCGCACTCCCAGGCACGGACGAGTTGAGTTGAGGGCGGGAGTCACTGATGGGTGACAAATGTGAACAAATGTGACCCATGGTTCCTCCTTCCTCTCCCCCTCACCTGTCCCATGCATACACCGCCATGCCGCCTGCTCCCACCATGTCCCCCACATCATCCACTGAAGACGCCTTTTTCTGCACTGCATTCCCAGGCACGGACGGGTTGAGCGCAGGGGTCATGGCCGGGTGACAACCCAGGTGTGCAATGAGGTGGGTAAGTAGAGCGGAGAGATCGCAGGAGGTAGGCAGACGCAGGCGCACAGAGACCTGGTAATGGGTGAGTAGATGCCATATAGAATGGGATGAGCGCGTTGGAGTGGAAAACTGGAGATGTCCCACTGTGTTGCACTGCACTCGCAATCACGGACGAGCTGAGGGCGGGATTCATGGCAAGGTGGCAGCCCAGGTGGGTGATGGGGTGGGTGGGTGATGGGGTGGGTGAGCAGAGAGCAGACGCTGGCAGGCAAAGAAAGACTTTTGAGGCGCCTCAAAAGACGCTGGCAGGCGAAGATAGAAAACGCCTCAAATGCTTCAAATCACATTCAATCTCAAACGCATTTGAGGCGTTTATCTATCTTCAAATGGCATTTGAGGCGTCTGTCTATCTTCAAATGGCATTGGAGGCGTCTGTCTATCTTCAAATGGCATTTGAGGCGTCTGTCTATCTTCGCCTGCCAGCGTCTGCTCCAGCAGACGCCTCAAATGCTTTCGGGGGATGCTTTCGATAACTCTGAGGCGCCTCGAAAATTGCAGGCGAAGATAGGTAGGCAGACATTTGGGAGGATGCTTTCCCTGAAAAATCACGATCAAGGTCAGAAGTGATGAGGCAGGAAGGAAGGATGAAGAATGGCATACACACAGAAGGGAGGAAGGAAGGATGAAGAATGGCATACACACAGAAGGGAGGAAGGAAGGATGAAGAATGGCATACACACAGAAGGGAGGAAGGAAGGATGAAGAATGGCATACACACAGAAGGGAGGAAGGAAGGATGAAGAATGGCATACACACAGAAGGGAGGAAGGAAGGATGAAGAATGGCATACACACAGAAGGGAGGAAGGAAGGATGAAGAATGGCATACACACAGAAGGGAGGAAGGAAGGAACCACATGCTCCACAAAAGAATGCCGAAATATTGTTCACAACTGGAATTGAATGGTGAATTACCGCTTAGAAACAACCACATTGTAAGCCACATTCCGGCAGTCATCCATACATGCATGTACATACCTGATGGCCTTTGCAGGTGACAACTGGGGTAGGCAGTATATACGTCTCTGCACCCACACTGCCACCCCCACCACCTTCCTCTCTCCTCTTCTTCTCCTCCTCCGCCTCCCGTTTCTGTCTCATTCGATACAGTCTCACCAGCAAACCCCTCCTTGCCGCCCGCACCGCCAGCTCTAGAGCTTCAGGTCCCCCTGCCGCCGGATCTTCCCCAGGTTCTCCCGGATTTGATTTGATTGATTCTGATGCGACAGCCCCTGAGTCTGTAACTCCTGGTGAGACCCCTGATGCAGGCTCTGATGTACCAGGGTTGGAATCTGAAGGTTCTGAAGGGCCAGAGTCACAAGAGGCGTATTCTGGTTCTAGGGTTGATGCAGATACAGCTGCTGTTGTCATTGCTGCTGCGGAGGCTGTTGCTAGGCCTACCAACGTGGCAGATGACCATTGGGCCCTGCTGCTGCTGGCGTTTGCTGAGCTGGGCTGCGATGCTGACGTGGACGATGCGGGAAGCTGTGACGACAGGTGAAGTGCTGTTGCAAGAATCCAGCGATTTCTTTCTTCCATGACATGGCCAGGCTTGTGCAGAGGTGGACGAGCAGGAGACTGCCACGTGGCAGCATCCAGTCTATTGACGAGAAGGCGTTTGAATGAGAATAGACGCTTTAGATTCTGACGCCAAAAGGGTACATGAGGTGGCCCCATGGCGATCTAGCATTCACAGTCTCCGCGCTACGCGTCGAACCACGTGCTATTCTAGAAAATGTGAAACGCCATATATGTTGGAAGTGCAGGGCTTCGCCTCAACACGCTACGTGTTTAACCACGGACACGGCAGATCCCTATTACTAAGAGACAGTATCCCTAACTCGGGACTACATATTACGCTGTAGAGCGCATAATCCCTAGACTTAAGTTTTGCGACGCTATTCACTAGGCGGAAGGCGCAGGAAACAAGGGCATGCAGGTATCTGTAAAGTGCTACTGGGAAGCGTAGGGAACACGCTAGAGAGACAAGTGTCTCCTTCACGACATGACTCGCTTTACCGACATATCTAAGGTAAAAGTGTAGAAATGTTTGAACCGTGGAGATTGTGTGTAATTATGTTCGGCCATGCGCTGTTTCTGGTTAGTCTGACGAAGCTTCACGAAATAGTTGATTGCTGTCGCCAGGGTGAATCGCTTCTGTTCCAATCTCGACTCTGCCCCTGGCCAATCCCAACCTTCTCGCAGTCCGAGCTTTTCTGATCCCGAATCGTAGCAAAGCACGTCAAGCCAACCAGAGCAGGAGCGCTTCGTAACCTCAGTCGACTCTGTCCAATCATTTATCGTCGAAGCCTGCACCACTCATTAGCAGAAACGAGCGAATAACCACGTTGCTGAATCACCCAAACCACGTCATCCCACGCACTGGTTACGTTGGCCGAAGAGCATATTCTGCCCGCGTTCTTGAACATGACTGCCCCGAACTGTCGGAGCCTGATTACGTGTGCCAATCAGGAAATGCTCCAGATTTCGGGTCGGCTTCCCCAAACTGGCACCCACACACTTCCCCGCCAAACTGCCCCGTAACACGTCAGTGCGCTACGTCTTTCCCATCCCCCCCTCTCACAATCCCCGCACACTTCCGCCCATTCCTTCCCCCTTGTCTCCCCACACCCGAATCGTTGGGGGCAAATCTCGACCATGGCTGGTCGAGTCGAGAACGTTGAACCGTCGGATGTTTCCGATGCCGAATCACCATGATTCTCACGTCCGCACGCAGCCCCATAATCCAAAGGAGCAGTCCTCTCCGCGAAAACCCGTTGTACAGTAGTCCTCAGCTCAGGTGCGCAACCTCCCGTCCCCCGATTCTCCAATCAGGAGAAACCAGATTTTGCGAATGCATTCGCTAAGGGCGACGTCAGGTTGTACATTTCCCAGTGCCTTGACAGTTCTTTTATCGTGGCTTGAGACGGTTCCACTCGGTGAGAAGCAGTTCTCAAGCTTTACCGTTTTGCACCGTGACGAAACGGAGTTGAGCACACAGAAGTTGTAACAACCTGACATCGCCCTGAGCGAAAGACCTGGCGCACCAGTTGGAGGTCAAGTAGTGCGCGCGGAGAACAAAGAAGAGGGGATGAGGGGGGGAAAGCCCCGCACAACAGGGAGGAAGGGGCTGGGGCGGGAGAGGGGAGAAGGGGGAGGGTTCGCCGAGCCAAGCCAGGGAGGAGGAACCAACAGGGGTAACTGCTAGGAGCAGCAACTTCTTCGTTGGCTGCTGGTGCTGCCTTGATTGGTGCGATCTGCTGCGTGAGCGAACAGCAAAACAACAGATGTGATTCTCAAATGTCAGGAACAGCAATAGCAGGGATGTTCATGTGTGCCAGAACAATGGCTCTGGCACATGACGGCTCCCGCCTAATCGACCTGTTGCCATGCCGTTTCGTCTAAATTAGTGCTTTCTCACTGAATCTAACGACCCTTGGGCACGTCATTTGCCATCAGTTCAATCAAACTTTGAACTTCCTACTTAGCTCAGTCGTTCTAAGGCGATACTAGTGTCGCAGAGGCTGCGCGCCGCCGCTTAATTATTGTTCCCCGTTAAGCCACTACCAAACGTCGGCTCTGTCTTTTTGAATCAGGCAATTGAAGACCAGGACATCTAGGAAAGAAGTTCTACGAAACGCCGAGCATTTAGCCTGCAGTTTGCGGAAAGGACCTGGACCGTACGATACGATCTATGGGAAAGCTAAGCCCCGTGGGGCCGAAGCTGGGACACTACTGCGGCGCGCAGAGGGAGGCCGCGCGACCGCAGCTGCTATCTTCAGGCGCTTATCAGGTGCTCCTTGATAGCTTATCTCTAATTTTTAAGAACGATTTCGACGCGTACCCTGGGGTGTCGCGATAGCCACTTCAGCACGTTTTAGTTTAAGCCTTTATTATCTGCGAGTACTATAAGAATACTCACTCGTTAGGACTTGCGGCATGCGTAAATTTCGGCGTTTCCCTCGCGTTAGGAGTCGCGGCAGGCATGGGTGCCGTGTTTAGCGACTCACATCCAAGCCCCGCCGCGGTCATATGAACTTCATTTCTTTAAGTCGTACCGAGTCAATCGTCTGGAGCATATCTTCCTACTCGCCTCGTCGTACCGGCCTCTGTTCATGTCGACTCACTCATCCCGCTTGGTCGACTTACTCTTTCGGCACTGCAGTCATGCCTCTTTTCCGTCTTGTTCCTTCTTCTGCCTCTCACTACCCCATCCCGTTCCCCGTTTCGTCGCTGAAACTGTGCCGTAAGCGATCCCGGCTCTCCCCTCATTTCCCCCTCCCTCTCCCCCTTTCCCCCGCCCTCCTCCCTTTCCTCCTCCTTCCTTCCTTCCCCCGCTCTCCTCCCGCTCTCACCGCTTTTGCGCGTTGATTCTTCAGGCCTCGTCGCCGCTCCCCTCGTTGCTGCGCTGCCACGTCAGTCACGCTTCCTCCGCCCTCCCCATCCCGCCGCGGACCACGTCAGCAACGGGGGCGGCCAATGAGGGCGATCCACGTGGCGGCGGGCGCAAGAAACTGCTCCCGTGTCTCTCCGCCCCGCCCCTGTACATATCCTCCTTTTTCTATAAGAACGTCGTAACGCCTCTGCGCTCCGCCCGCTCTCCCTCCGCCCACTCCCCCTCCGCCCACTCTCCCTCCGCCCGCTCTCCCGGTTCCCCGCCCTCCCCCGGACCTCCGACTTTCCGCCGCGCCTCCTCCGCCTGCTCTTCCGCTTCTTCCGCCAACCGCAAGCAGGGGAATCCTTCCCGCCTGCCCCCTCTACTTCCCGCCTCCCCGCGACACCCTTCCGCCTCTTCCCCGCCGTCGTCCCCGTTCCTTCCCCGCTCCCCCTCCTTCCTCCCCAGATCCTCGTCACTCTCCTCCGCTTCCTCCTTCCCCTCCTCTTCCTCCCTCTCCTCACCCTCCCTTTCCTCCCCCTCATCTCTCCCCCCTTCCCCCGCGCTCACATCCCCGCTCTCTACCCGTCCGCGGACGTCGTCCGGCAAGACTGCCGGTGGAACAACCAGCGCCGGCAAAGTGGAGGCGCGCGCCCTGCGCTCAGGAATCCCGGCGGCTAGCCGGCGGTCGCGTCGGCAACCGGCTGACGACGAGGAGGAATATTTTTATTTTCTGCCAGATGTTGAGGACGATTGGGAGGAGGAGGAGGCGGTGCAGAGGCACCGGCGGGAGGGGCAGCGGTGGCGGGGGGACATCGGCGGAGAGGCGCAGGGGAAGCGCGCGGATGCGGAGCGGGGGGAGCTGGGGGGAAGCCCCGGGTACGGGATCGGATCTGGGTCTGGGAGTGTGTATGATAGCAGCGGCAATGGCGGCGGGATTGGCGGCGGTATGGGCGGTGGTATCGGCGGTAGGGATGAGTTGAGTAGCTATGGACAATACCAGGAGTTACATCAACACGCGTTTCATCAACCGTTACAGTATCAACAGCAGCCGCAGCCACAAAATTGGTACTCGTACGGCCACCCAGATCCACAGCAGCGGCAACCGCTGCAACCGGGGCAGCTAGAATGGCAGCAACAGGAGCAGCAGTGGCGGCAGCAGCAACAAACGAACGATCAGGAGAATGACTTTCAACGTCAACGAGAGCAGCTTTGGGGGTGGCAGCAGCAGCAGCAGCAGGAACAGTTATGGCAGCAGCAACAACAGCAGCAACAGTTGCAGTCACGGCAGCAGCAGCAAGTGGCACAGTTGCAGCAATCGGATTTGCAGTCACGGCTGCAGCAGCAACAACGGCAACAGCAGCAGAGTGGTGACGTGGCAGTAGCGCCATCGTCACAGGACCAGGAGCAGCAGCGACACGTCAGCAGCCGCGGTCAGGAACAAAAACACCATCACCATCATCACCACCACCATCACAAGCACGGGCATGGGCATGGGCATGGGCACGGGCATGGGCATGGGCATGGGCATGGGCATGAGAAGAGCAAGGGGCATGGGCACGAAAAGAGCAAGGCAGTTTCAGGGTGGCTTCCCCCCTCCCAGGCTCACGTGCGGAGGCAGGTGGCGCAGTGGAGTGTGAAGGCGTTGATAGCGGTGAAAGACAACATGGCGCTGTCTCTGCCGCCGGAGTCGCTCATTCTAGTTGTCTCGTGCCTCGTGGGCGTGCTGACTGGCTCGTCCGTGGTGCTATTTAATGATACGGTGAGTTTCGCGAAGTACGGCTTTTCCTTGTAGTGCCTCATGAGGAGGGCTCCGCGTGACTGGCTTGATTGATTGATTTATTTATTTGTTTATTTGTTTGTTTATTTATTTATTTACTTATTTATTCATTCATTCATTCATTCATTCATTCATTCATTCATTCATTCATTCATTCATTCATTCATTCATTCATTCATTCATTCATTCATTCATTCATTCATTCATTCATTCATTCATTCATTCATTCATTCATTCATTCATTCATTCATTCACATGAATTCATTCATTCATTCATTCATTCATTCACATGAATTCATTCATTCATTCATTCATTCATTCATTCATTCATTCATTCATTCATTCATTCATTCATTCATTCATTCATTCATTCATTCATTCATTCATTCATTCATTCACATGAATTCATTCATTCATTCATTCATTCATTCATTCATTCATTCATTCATTCATTCATTCATTCATTCATTCATTCATTCATTCATTCATTCATTCATTCATTCATTCATTCATTCATTCATTCATTCATTCATTCATTCATTCATTCATTCATTCATTCATTCATTCATTCATTCATTCATTCATTCATTCATTCATTTATTCATTTATTCATTTCCTCCACCTTAATCTCCCCCGCCCACTCTCACTGCTCCCAACCGCTCTCCACGACTCCCGCCACCCTCCAGGTACACATCATCAGGGACACGCTCTTCCAAAACGTGCCTCACGAGGAGGGCTCCGCGTGGCTAGCTATGAGTTGTCTCAGATCCCATCTCCCACGTTCCCCCACCACTCTCACCGCTCTTAACCGCTCTCAACTGCTCTTCACCACCTCCAGGTGCACATCATCAGGGACACGCTGTTCCAGAACGTGCCTCACGAGGAGGGCTCCGCGTGGCTGAGGGACCAACCGGTGGGCGACGTGTGGCACCTCTTCCTGGTGCCGCTGGCGAGCGGCATTGCCCCCACTCTCACCGCTCCCAACCTCTCCCCACCCCCCCGCCCCACCACTTCCAGGTGCACATCATAAGAGACACTTTGTTCCAGAACGTGCCTCACGAGGAGGGCTCCGCGTGGCTGAGGGACCAACCGGTGGGTGACGTGTGGCACCTCTTCCTGGTGCCGCTGGCGGGCGGCATTGCTGTTGGCATTCTCAACTCGCTCAGGTCTGGGCTCAAGGATACGGCTCCCACCCGCACGCAGCAGCAGCAGCGCCAGCAGCAGCGCCAGCAGCAGGAGGTGGAGGGAACAGAGCAGCAGAAAAAGCCCTTCAAGCAACCACCCTTCTCCCTGCCGTTCCTCACCCCGGACGACCTTGCCGAGCTTAACAGCAAGGCTCGGGCCGTGGCTCGGCCGGTCCTGAAAGCCTTGGCAGCCGCAGTCACGCTCGGCACGGGAAACAGCCTCGGTCCGGAAGGCCCGAGCGTGGAAATCGGGTCTAGCATCGGGAAGGCCACAGGGAGCATCGTCAGAGGAAGCCGCGAACGCACAATCGCACTCGTAGCAGCGGGGTCTGCTGCGGGTATAGCATCGGGGTTCAATGCTGCTGTTGCCGGGTGTTTCTTTGCGTTAGAGTCCGTCCTCCGATCCTCCACACAAGGCTCCCCTGCAAGCCTCACCACGGCTATGATCCTCCTGTCTTCTGTTCTCGCCGCGGTGGTGTCCCAGGCTGGTTTGGGCGCCGATCCATCCATCCACGTCCCCTTATACGAGCTCCGATCGCCAGCGGAGCTCCCTCTCTATCTCCTCCTGGGGCTTTGCTGTGGAGGGGTGTCGATCTCGCTCACCCGCTCGGCGGCGTTCTTCTCGTCGGTGTTTGATGGGTTGGAGGCAAACACGGCCGTGCCGCCCGTGCTGCTGCCGGCGATCGGAGGGCTGGGGATCGGAGTGATCTCGCTGGTGTATCCCGAGGTGCTCTACTGGGGGTTCCAGAACGTGAACGACCTCATCACGTCACACCCCCTCGTGGCCTCCCCTGCGGTATGTGCCCCTCTGCATGCTGCCTCCTTTTGGGTACGCACATGCTCTGGCTCTACCGCTTGTCTCGTCTGTGGTACGAATGACTTCTGTGCGCCGCCACCTTTGATCTGACTTTTGAGTCGACTCAAAAGTCTGCTTGTCTCGTCTGTGGTACGAATGACTTCTATGCGCCGCCACCTTTGATGGGGCGGCACAGGGGGGGCTTCTGATGCTCGTCTCTTCATCTCCTCCTCTTGTGTCATCTTCCCTCCCCCCCTTCTGTCTCCCTTCCCCATCACCACCAGCCGGGGTTCCTGCTGCAACTGGTGGTAGTAAAGGTCCTCGCCACGGCCTTCTGTCACGGATCCCGCCTTGCTCTTCATTGGGGCGGCACTCGGGGCGGCTCTGGTGCTCGATTCCTTCCTCTCTCTTCATCTGTCCTCGAATCCTTGTCTCCTTTCCCCCTTTCCTCCTCCCTTTCCTGTCCCTCTTTTCCCCACCCCAACGCCCACTTTCCCATCACCAGCCGGGGTTCCTGCTGCAGCTAGTGGTTGTAAAGGTCCTCGCCACGGCATTCTGTTGCGGATCTCGCCTTGTGGGCGGCTTCTTGCTCGGTCCCCTCATCTCCTCCTCTTACTTCGCCCACATCCCCACCCTCCGTTTCCCTGATTCCCCCATCACCAGCCGGGGTTCCTGCTGCAGCTAGTGGTTGTAAAGGTCCTCGCCACGGCATTCTGTCGCGGATCGCGCCTCGTGGGCGGCTTCTACGCGCCCTCACTCTTTATCGGGGCGGCGCTCGGGGCGGCGTACGGGCGGCTGGCGAGTGACGTGCTGGCGTTCATTGACCCGGACCTAACCCTCACATGGATCCAAGTGGCCGCCCCCCAGGCTTATGCTATGGTGAGTGTTGCCCTCTTTCCCTGCTCGCTCTCTCTACTTTCTCTCTCTTCGTTCTTCTGAGGCGGCTGGCCAGTGACGTGCTGGCGGTCATTGACCCGGACCTAACCCTCACATGGATCCAAGTGGCCGCCCCCATACCTCTGAGGCGGCTGGCGGCTGGCCAGTGACGTGCTGGCGTTCATTGACCCGGACCTCACACTCTCTACTCGCCCTATCAACTCAGCCCTTCCAACCTCCTTCCCCTGTTTATCAGGTGGGCATGGCAGCAACGCTAGCAGGAGTGTGCCAAGTTCCCTTAACATCCGTGCTGCTCCTATTCGAGCTCACTCGCGATTACCGCATCATTCTGCCGCTCATGGCAGCAGTCGGCATCTCCTCCTGGCTCGCATCCACTGCTGCCAGAAAGCCCTCCTCTCCTCTCACCCCTCCCTCCCAACCACCTCTTTCTCTGTGTGCGTCCTCCCAACCTGCTTCCCCTGTTTCCCCTGCTTCTTTTCCCTCTGTCCAGGTGGGCATGGCAGCGACGCTAGCAGGAGTGTGCCAAGTTCCCTTAACATCCGTGCTGCTGCTATTCGAGCTCACTCGCGATTACCGCATCATCCTGCCGCTCATGGCAGCAGTGGGCATCTCCTCCTGGCTCGCATCCACTGCTGCCAGAAAGCCCCGGCGTTCACCTCCCGGTGGCGTCACCGTCTTTGCTCCCTCCAACTCCCCCTCCTCCTCCTCCTCCTCCTCCTCCTCCTCCTCCTCCTCCTCCTCCTCCTCCTCCTCCTCCTCCTCCTCCTCCTCCTCCTCCTCCTCTTCCTCATTCCCTTCCTCCCCGCCTTACTCCCCTTCGTCCCATTCCGTATCTCCTCCTTCCTCCTACTCCTACCCGGCTTCGTACTATCCCAGCCCTCTCTCCCCGTCGCTCTTGCCGGTGCTTCCGCCGTCGCCCGTACCCCCCTCACCGCTGCTCTATTCTGGGGCAGGGAACACAAGATCCTATGCGCATGGCACTGCCCCTTCTGCTGCTGAACCTGCTCCTGACGCTGCTGCTGCTACTACTGCTGCACCTCGTCCTCCCTACATGCCGTCGCAGCTCCCTGGTCCTTATCCAGGGGCACTCTATACGGGGGATATTTATTCTGGTTCAGGGCCTTGGGTGGGTGGAGGAGGTGGGGAGGGGATGAGAAGGGAGGCTAGAGGAGAGGAGGTAGGAGGGAGAGAATGGGATGGTGGTGGTGCTGGTGAAGGCGGTGGAGGGAAGTGGGCTGAAGATTTCAACAAAGCTCCACCTGCTACCGCTGCTTCTGCTGCTTCTTCTGCTGCTGCTGCAGAGGCGGCGGCAGCGGCGGCAGCGGCGGCAGCAGCGGCATCTTTTTCCACTCCCCCTGGGTACACGACTCCTGCTTCTGCTGCCTATGGTCCGCCTGTTTCTGGTCCAGGCGCCTATGCTGCATTGAATTCTTCTGCCTACGAATCACCCATCTCCTCTCCACACTCGTCCCCTTTCGCCTCTCCTTCCTCCTCCCCTCCTTCCTCTCCTAAACGTGCTACTCTTTCCAGAACCCCCTCCTCTGGTCCCAAGGTTGCCAGTGCAGCAGCGGCGGCTGCAACAGCAGCGGCAGCAGCTGCAACTGCGGCAGCAGCGGCAGCAGCAGCAGCCTCTAGTGCCCAGGAGAAAGCGTATGATAATCCCGAGGCTTCGGCGTTCATGCCGGAGCTAGATCTAGCTGCGGAAGTGGCTGCCGAAGCTGCTGGGGTGGCCGCCGAAGCTGCAGCCACGGCTGCCGAGGCTGCTGTGGAAGCAGCAGCAGAAGCAGCCGAAGCTGATAACGCTGGTCTTGCCACAACAGATGGTGATTCCGCCCTTCCTCCCGCTACTCCTCCTGCCAATCCGCTCGTGCCAGCTGTCATACTAGACGTGGCAGGTGGGGCGGGAGGAGGAGGGCTTTCTCCAGGTGGATTATCAGGTGGTTCAGCAGCAGCCATTGCGGAGTCAAACGCGACTGTGATTGTACTGGAGAGAGCGAGCGGTCTGGTCCCCGACCCTCTACCCTCTCCTCCTCTTCCTCCTCCTGTAACGTCCTCTCCCTTGTCAGTTAGTGGACAAGGCACGGAAGCCACGGCAGCTCAGGCTGACGCGGCTGCAGCAGAAGTGGCAGCGGCAGCAGCGGTGGCGGCAGCAGCAGCAGTTTCAGTGGTCGTGGATGCAGTTTCTGCAGTTTCGGGGTCACCAGAAGCAACAGCAGCTGCAGCAGCAGCAGCAGTAGCCGCAGCAGCAGTAAGTGGTGTGACGGGAACCGCACCTACTAAAGGAGCAGCAGCAGCAGGTGATAGTTCATCAGAAGCAGGATCCACTGAAGTGGGTGCTAGCTCTATCCAAAGGCAAGAAGAAGCTGCAGCGGCAGCAGCAGCAGCTGAATTGCTATCAGAATCTATATCAGAGGGCCCAGAGGGAAGCAACTACGGGCTCTCACAAGAGACCCCATTTGCTGGTTTCTCCTCCCCTTCTCCCGACCTCCAAACCCCAGACCTCCCCCCTCTGAGAATCCCTTCCCCCACCAACCCCCAGTTAGGAGGCTTCATGGCGCCTTCCCAACCCAGCTCTCCTCCTCCGGCTGCCCCACCCTCCTCCTCCTCGTTCGCACCCCTCCCCCCGCCGCCTCCCCTGGTGGTCGTTTCGCGCGACGACGGCGTGTCTCTGGACGTACGCGACGGAGTGTTTTTAGAGGAGCAGCTCTTAGAGGAGCTGCCAGTGGCAGTGGCGATGAACACGTCCTTTGCAGCAGTGGGAGTAAGAGCCATGGTGCGGGATGCTGTGGCTTCCATGGTCGCGCACAGGCAGTGGTGCTGCTTGGTGCTGCAGGATGGGGGGTACCTGCATGGGCTGCTGACGCTGGTGGATGTTCAAGAGGAGGCGGAGAGGCAGCTTTCGGCTGGAGGTGCTGCTGCTGACGTGGAGGCTCTTCCTGTGATTGCCATCTGTCACCAGCATCCTGATTCCGAAGCGTTCCTACGCTTGCCTTCAGAATCAAATCTTTCGCCGGATGCCAACGGCGACCCTTCGTCCTTGTCCTCATCTGGCATTGCCGCCCGGAGCCGGCCATCCGAGGCCATCGAGGTGACCTTCCCCGATACCACGCTGCGGGCGGCGCGCGACCGAATGACGGCTCGCGGGCTTCGGCAGCTTCCTGTTGTGCTGCGAGAGGAGATGGTGGTGAGGAGGGAGAGGGTGGGGAGTGATGCTTCTGGGAGTGGCAGCAGCAGCGGAAGTGATAGTGAGGGGGGGAGTAGTGGTTACAGCAGCAGCAGCAGCCGTGGGAGTGGGAGTGAGAGTGAGCGTGGGAGTGGGAGTGAGAATGAGAGGGAGTACCGAAGAGGAAGTGAAGGGGAGAATGGATGGAGGGGTGTGAGGGGAAGTGGAGGCGGGAGCAGTGGGAGTGAGATTGAGGAGGGGAACACCGATGGCGAGAGTGATTCGGATGGAGATGACGTCAGCAACGACGATGATGACGTGGCACCTGTCGTGCGTCTTCGGGTGCTGGGGTTGGTGGATCGAGACGACATCTCGCTTGCCTGCAGGTACAGTTGAGAAATGGAATAAAAAATGTTCAAAAACCACACTTGGTTCCACTTGCCTTTCAGGTTTACATCTTGACTGTTCAGTTACCTCCCCACCATCCACCTCTCGTCCACCTCCACATACATCCCCCCACTGCCACCCCCATGTGAGTGCATATTCCTTCAATGCACTCACACACCCGTCTCTCTCCCATCATTTGCTCATATGCCCTCCCTTCCCTTTCAGGGCGGAAGCCACTCGTCGGCTGCTCTCAGCCCTCCCTCGGGATTTCCGTTCCTCTGGTGGTGGCAGTGGGAGTGCGGGCATGCAGCAGACACAGCTGGACAGCTCTCTCTTCCCTGCTGCTTGAGCATCACATTGTCAGCAAGCATACATCTATTATGGGTTGGTGGATGAGCAAGCAAGCACCTTGAGGTGCTACCTGCTCTGGTCAGAAAGCCCGGGCCTGGTGATAGTGAATGCTGTTGGGCAAACGGGTGTGAAAGCGGCAGATCTGGGGTCTAGTCAATTGCGGTCAGGGTGTATGGTTCTACTTTGGATACGGTGTACCATGCCATAGCCTGGAGTACTTGCATTGCGTTGCATGTGTTGCTGTTTACAAATGCTCAGGTCATGTAGCGTGATACGGTAGTTGTACAAGCATGGTTGCTCCTGTAGTGCAAGTCCTGCAAGAAAAGAAGTCAGATTGAGGCGCAGAAAGAACCTAATAAGCAGCATACCATACGTACTGAATTGTCTGTGGTTGTGCAGTGCAATCATGTAACCGTCTGAACCAACCTTTGTAGTAACAATCAAAGGTGGTCCGAATTTGTGCATTGATTTCAATTATCTTGGATGGAACCTCTTCTTTTCCTGAAAGAACAATATTATTTAGCAGCAGAAGCTGAGCACTAAAGCTGACAGCCAAGATAAGGAAGGCTATGTGTAAACGTGGTTTGTCCCAGGAAGATGGTGAGGAGCCAGAGCTAGATAGACCAGCATGAACATGAGCATCACGGGAATGACCAGCAGCGCTGAAGGCGGAGGAGCGATGCTCGGAAGAAGAGCTGGCAGCACTATAAGCAGAAACAGGAAGACGGTCACCACCAGGATTGCACGACGAGACATCATCCGAGCAGCTGGGGGGTTCGTCTCTCCGATTAGTGCGCTTCGCGTCCTTGTTTGACCGTCAGATTGATTATAATCTTGAATATCTTGCTCGGAAAAGCCCAGGAGCTCTTCGGCGGGTGGAGCTCTCGTCGCAGCAAGCTCCGAAACGGCGTGAGCGAGATGAGCCTCGACAAGGTCTCCGTGTGATCGAATTGGGTTGCTTTGAAACGACATGCCGGGACGACGATGCTGCTGCTGTCCTCCGCGATTTTGGCCGCCGGAAATTGAGGAGGACGAGGAGGAGGAATAACGATTTTCTGTTGGAAACGCCGGTTGGTCCGTAGATCGCCACCGCTCGTAGGAATTCTGTCGTGACGTTCTTCTTAAAGGGTCTGAAGAAGGAGACAACGAGCTCCCGGAAGGCCTTCGCTGAATCGGTTTATTGCCGGCGCTGGAGTGGAGAGGATCGTGGTACGGGACGAGTCGGGAAGCCGGAGTCGCGGTTGTATTATGGAGCCGCCACGAAGGACCCATGCCATGCATGGAAGAGACGTCGGAAGGGGACGTGAACGTAGACGGGTTAGGAGATGCTCGCAGATCGACAGCGGCAGGAAGAAGCAAGGAGGGGTTTGAAGTAAAGGACGAGAGGTCCAACACTGACCTCTTCCAGCTCTGGTCTCCACTGGAGTCCATATAAAAGAATAGTTGATCGCTCTTTCGGCGGAAACGAGCCGGAAGAAAAACTCTTATTGGAGATGGAGATTGTCTCGGCTATGGAGTCGAAGAAAGCCGTCTCACTGTCCTTCGAATTGAGGGGCAAGGGGAAATGCCGATAGAGGCGGGAGGATGGAGATTAAGTTGGGGGTAGAAGTTGCTGTTCAGAACCAGCTTTCCAACGGTCAAATTTGCTTTTGCAACGGTTGAAAAAGGTACTGAGGAACGAAAAAGGTTCAAGCAGCGGCTGTTGCTTGTGTGTTGAGGCAAGAGGGAGAGTCTGCCAGAGCAGGGAATGGATCAAAAATAAGATTCTTGAGAACTGCGAAAGGGTGCAGCATTTTTGCGTGGTCAGGAAGAAACACCATGAAGCACTTTTCTCCTCAAAAAAGGCCTGGTTCTGATTTGATGATGGTCGTCGGTTATGGGCAGGGTGTCGAGCCTCAGGCTCGAGGAAGACTCGGGTGTGAAAAGTGGTTAAGATTAATAGAGAAGACGGTTCGTAGCGGTTCAAGTGTCGAGCCTCGCAAAAATCTGGAAACCGGCTCGTCAGGCCGATCACATGGCCCGCGGCCCTCCCGCGGCAAGCTCAAAGGACCGCGGTGAAGGTCTGGATGTTGAAAATCGGATCCGCCGCAGGTCATCCGCGCAAGCTCCAAGTGAAGCAACGGCGGAGGAGGGTGCTGATGAGGGGCGGAGGCAAAATGGAGGTTCGCTCGTGGAAGGAGACCTCTCTGCGTGCCTCCAACAAACCGTCTTCCCCTCGCACCAAGCAGAAACCCCGCAGCCTCAAGTTGAGAGAGGTACGTGCCAAACCAGTAAGCTAGCCTCGACACGCACACTTGGTGCTCGTTCAGCAGCTCCGCTGACTGTTTTTTCGAGTGTAATCACAAGCTCATGTACATTCATAACAAGGCCGATGTACAAAACCCTGCAATTATGTCCATCAGTACTAGTTGCAAGGACGTGGTACATTCCAAAATTGGATTTTTTTTCTTATGGGTCCGTTCTCTGGAACGTCATAAGCATGAAAAAAACATGCAAAATCTATAACTATTCAAAATTGCATAAAGCTACTGATGTATCACAACGTGAGCTTGCAAAACTAACAATGCCCAACTTGACTTGCGTCAATTGATAGTTACAGCACCTTACTGTACTAAACATTTGAAACTAATGGCATGGCCTAAGGGCACATCACATATGCATTGGTCCACATTGGTACTAAAGATTTGAAACCAGCCTAGGACGGACCGGCCTCCATGATCGTGATAGAACAAATATAACAACCCCCCTCCCCTCCCCCTCTTATGTCAGTAATCAGACAACATTATTTTGCTAGGCAGCACTGTTTGTGGACCCCTGAAGGACTGCTGGACTAACAAATGAGCTCTGTACATTTGGGCATTAAATCAAGGAAGCGGATCTATATACATCTTTCGTACACTATTTGGTCTACAACTTCTCCTCATATGGGTCTGCAGCAGGGTTGTAAACTGGTCTTTCTGTTCCGTACCATACCGGACGGATCTGTACACATGTTACATCCCCCGACCTCTAAAATTCCTGTAAACTGCATGTTATCTGTTCAAAGATACGTTACCTTTCCTCATGTCTGGAAATTCACAGGGAAACATGCTACTAAAAATGGCAATCAAGTGTACTCAGTACCCTGCGTGACGCCTGCCCTTGGCCTGCCCTTGGGCCGGATCCACGAGCAGGAAAGTTTCACAAGAAGCTTCTTGCCAACACGGAGCGAAAGGGAAGTCTGCAATCTACACTTCTACTGTAGTCCATTCCGTTTGTACAGAACTGTGCTGCTGTAAAAATAAACTCTGTACAAATAAAGGAAAGACCTTGGCCAATTTCCTAATAATAACAGTTTCAGGGAACCTAAAAAAACTGGGCACACTTGCTTGCGACACTCTTGTAAACACGATGTCTACAGCTGGAATCAAACCAGGCCGACTGCTTGTTGCACTGGATTCGATACTGCACGCACCGAGATTTCAGGATCCGACTTGCAATACTTGGGCAAGCAGCAAAGAAAAATCCGCTGCCCCCAGTGGGAAAAGCTGGATAATTACTTTATTGCCAGTTTCTGGGCAAAGGGATCACACCGCTGGTATGGTCAACGACGTTCCCCCGTTGATTTGGGGGGTTGCTTGCTGTTCGACAAGTTCCCCGTTTATCCCTCGGCCCTGGGCCGCGGCCTCACCGTACACTATCGAGAAACGTATCTCTGATTTGGACAACAGGCCAAAGACATCTGGCATCCAGAATTTTCTTGTCGGTCTTGTGCACCCGGCATCTTTGTTGTTGACATTGCGGGGCAGTACACCTTTATTCTCGGCATTCGCACCAGCGGAAGCACTGGCTACAGTGTTTGGACGTAGCGGGCTGGTGCGATAACTCGGTTGCGGGCAAAGTCGCACGAGGTGACGAAACAAGCATTGGGCAGTAAAAAACCGTTAACGCTGAATAACCGTCCTAACCTTTTTGAGAACAACAGTACCATTATATAAAATTTGAAACCTTGACTGACCGCGTTAGGTCAAATTGTTAGTATAACGCATGTGATAGGACCTTCGTTGGTCCGTTGCGGTTACACTAAGCGTAATCATTTGTATAACAAATGCTAGTCTATTGAGAAAAAGGGTGTACAAGTTCCCTTCTGCTATGAGATGGTGACAACAGCGCTGGAATGTTGAAGAGCATGAGATGACGTTCCCGGAAATGAACTGCGTGGACGATGACGTCTGACCGACATGTGCTCACGACGATTGACGAGCTGCGCTGGCGTCCACAACGAATTGAGCTTCAGATAAGGGCGGCAGGCTGTCAAAAAAATGATAGCGGATGCACACGCTAGCCAACCAAACCGAAGGAACCAGACGGTGGTGCTGCCCGAACCAGACCAGCACAGCACTTTCGTGAGCCAGGCAGGACACCGCCCACACCGAGCCAACAGTTTTCCCGACCTTCCCTCTCCTTGCCAGCACATGGATGGCATTTCCGCGGCTGTGACAGGACGAAGCTCGTGATGAGGCACGGGGATGCCAGGGAGAGAAACAGGTGTGGTTCAAGAGCCAACGGCCATCTGCTGCAGCACTGCCGCGTGTACCTGCTGCGTGTGTGTTGCTCCACCAATCGGGATGGACGGAGGGAGATGAAGCTGTGTTGCCTCGTGCAGTCCCCAGCTCGTCCTACTCCTGCAGCCTTGCCCTGCCCGCCACACGAGCCTCACCACGCTGTGTTCTCCACCTGGATTCCTCTGCTAAGGACGCGTCACAATTGCAACACCGGGGAGGATCGGGGACCGAACACCGAAAATGTGTGCAGCGCGTATGAAAATCGTTTTCCAATCTGCATGAGCAGTGTTAGGCTGCTTCTCCGAGCCAAGTGAGACACGACTGTACAGCCAGTTTCGAGAGCAGGTGCCGTGCTTCGCTGGCGCGTCGTTCACTTTCGCCTGGGTTGTGACGACGCGGTCGCACAGCGCAGATGTCGCCCAACGACAGTTTGCGATGTCGCTCTGTTACCACTTCGAGAATGGCCGACAGTATGCGACGGCGATCGATCGTGGCTGGCACCGGTGGCGCGATTTCGTTTCCCACGCTGCCAATCGCACGATCGATGTGGCATTTCGAGCGGGGCAATCTCGTCAAGCTGCAAGTTCACGATATTCGCGTCATGGTTGTGCGAAATCGGGATACGCATTATTCGCCAACTGGCGAATTCACTGTAGATGGTGAACACCGAACCTACACAGGGTCGGTGTTGCAATTGTGACGCGTCCTAAATCGAGAAACTCCTCGAAGTCTACCCTGTCTTGTTCCTTTTGAGCTGGTGGATTTGTATTCGGTTACCACTGGCCGAGGCGAACCCCACGAAAACACCCCACACGGGCTTTCCACCTCTTTTGCTGGTTGTTAGATCGTATTTTGCCTCTGAGCCTTGTTTTGGCCAGTTCCTTCCAGCCATTCGAGGGTGTTTTAAAGTAAATGGTACTCATGTGACGAAACCTACTATGTATCCCCAGCGAACCATTTGACGATCTCCACTCAGTTCAGGTTGTAGACACAAACATCCTCTTCATAACGTTAGGGATTCGCGAGAGTGAAGAGATGACGAAATCATTTATACTAACTGTGTGTTTCTGTGTGTTTTAGTAAAATATCCTTCAACTTGGACATTTCTGCGCGCCACCCGTCCTGAGCCGGTTGGCTCGCACCCCAATCCCCTGAAATGGCAGGGTGCCCAGGAAGGGACCTGCATCTCCGCCCCCACCTCACTCCCTTATTCTCTTGATATTGCTGTAATGGCGTACAACCGAAACTGTGCTGAGAAACACGCAGCACACGCCACGTGACTCTCCGCAGATGTCACGAACAGAGCGCTTTCAATAATTATCTTCCCTGTCAAACACATTTGAAGGAACTTGCTCCTTAGATCCGGAAAGTCGATCATCTCATTCGAAACCTCGACCTTTTTTTAGTTCCTCAGATTACAGCACAATGTATCGACATCGAGATCAAGAAGACGTAGTATGCCTTGCGCCGCAAACAATGTCATATACTCCTCGCGACCGAGCAGAAGAATTGACCAGCCACTCCCCGGACAGCATTACCGCGTCTCTCGACCGCAATAGCGGTGACGGAAGCGTTCACGTGGCGGGAAACTCCGCCGACCGCCTCAATTTCAGCTCGCAATCTTACGCGGAACGAGCTACTACTAGCAGCGCCGGGAGCGCCGATGGCGGAGGCCAAAGTTACGGCAGCGGAAGCGGTCACGGAAGCCCGAGCAGTACCAGCAGTTACTTGGCTCAGCAGCACCGTGATTTGCGTCGTCAGCAGCAGGGAGGGTTCCCTTCGTCTCTTGCGGCGGAACGGCGGGATCCGCGGACGAACCGCGTCGGCGGCGGTGACGGAGGTGTATACGCAGCTGAAATTGAGTACGGCTACGAGCGTTACAGCCATCCCGGCGCCAAGAGCGGCGCAATTGCCGCCGGAGGCGGAAGCTACAGCCATGTCGCTTCGCGCGGCGGCAGCGGACGCGCGAGCGGCTTGGGTACTAGGCAGCGCTGGAGCTACGGTAACCACGCCACATTTCGCACTTCAGAATATAACGACGGAAGCGGTTCCAGAGCCGCCGCCGCCGCCGCCGAAAGCCGCGCGCGGTGCAGTAAAGCCGGTGCAGAGACTGGGTCGTCGTCCGACCTTCGTTTTGGAGCGGCGGGAGGGGGAATGCAAGGCGCGGGGACGCGGGGAACGGATTTTAACGGCATGGGGAACGTATATCCGGGGGCTGAGCGCGGCCACGCGACGAACGACACGGAAGGTTGGTGGAGGGGCGGGAACAGGTATGGAAGGGAAGCAGCCTGCGCCGGTGCGGAGAGGGAGGCTGTCATCATGACGGGACAAGGACGATATCTCACTGCACAAAGTCCGGAAAGCAGTAGAGAGGCTGCTAGGGTTATGGCGTTGTTGAACGCTGCGGCAGAGGCAGACGAGGATGCAGCACACGCGGGAGTAGATAACAATGGGTCTGCAGGGACAAGGCTGGCTAAAACGTCCCATATGGCATCAGCCAAGTCTGTGGTGGGGATAATGGCTGCGGTGACTGTGGTGTTGGTGCTGCTTCCCGCTTGCTTGTCGGATGTGGGCCCGCCACCCGCGGAGCTAATGCTGGTTCCTGTGGTTGTGATGCTCCTGCTGCTCACGCTCGTCCTCACCCCCACCATCTCCTCTTTCCCTGCTAGAAGCCACCCTTCCTGAGGGAAATTGACTCTCCACCATCTCCTCTTTCCCTGCTAGAAGCCACCTTTCCTGAGGGAAATTGACTCTCCACCATCTCCTCTTTCCCTGTTAGAAGCCACATCCAGTCCCATTATCTTCATAAGAGACTTAGGAAGAGATGTGGCAGTTACCGTAACATGTTCCAGTTATTGAGTCAGTATTTGCTTCGTTCGTTGTACAAATTGTATGTAAGGGCGGGTCACGCATTAGTTAATTTACAGCTCATGTATGAATGTTCCGGCTGGTAAGGGGCTGGTAAAGCAAACAAACAGCTGTAATGCGAACAGCAACTTTATTAACCGTTTTAATTGAAGATAAAGTCAAGCAAGGGTGACACGCCCTAAGAAGGGTCTGGTGTTGTATGGTGGTAATTGCAATATTTGCTGAACGTCAATTGTTTTCATATGGTTTTGAATGCATGACGAATTCTGTAACATTGCAAGTCCCTACTCGAGGTAGTATCTCGTTACAGTGTGCAGACCGTCAGAAAGAAGCGGTACACGTATCATCCTTGCGGTTTCGCTTTTCGCACAACTCCTCGTGCATTCCCGATGGGGCGTAACCTAGGCTGGAACTGTACATTTCGCCACGCATAACGGCAAGCTGCCGCAGCGAAATGTGGATCTCCTGGCTGGGGCGCTTTGCCTCCCGCTGTCAAACCGAACGATTCGTCCGGTTCGGGCCACACCTTACCTGACGTACGTACGTCGCCCTTCGCAGCGACAGGGGACGGTGGAGGGATGTTCAGCCAGATGGATGAACGACAGGGGAAGGGAGGGAGGAGGAATGGTCTGGTCAGCCTGACCATGACGCATCCAGCTTCGCCTGGTGGCCATCAGCGTCCTTCCTACCCTTTCTCTTGTGTCCGTGAGACATTTTGTCAATTGCCCGCATTGAACCTCTGGCCGCCAATTGCCCGCCAGAGGGAATCACCTAAGCTGATCATTCTGTCAGTTGACGGAACCACGGAACATATTATTAATTCCCCGAGGCGTCTCCGTCAATGAAGTCACGGGAAAACTGCTCGTTCATCAAGCCCCTTAGCGGATCGAGCATTTTGCAGATACAGAAATTCCGACAGACCGACGGATTTCATGGCACGAGACGGAGACGCACTGACAGTATCTGTCGGCTGTAATTCGCTTCGCGCGCCTTTCTGGCTTCTGCCTCCAACCACACCCCATGTTGATAACTGCTGGGAAAAGACGGTAATTGGCATTCAGCGGTGCTCCTCCATCAGCACCACTAATAGAATTTCATAACTGGCCAGACCAGCTACGGTACCTTCAAGTATCACTCGGTAGTACCTCGAGTACCTTCTCACGGACGTCAAAGCAGTACGCTCCTCACCGCTGACCTTGTGATGACAATGGCTGAGGTCGAGACGGCTCAAGAGGTTCATGATGATCATCAGGCTTCAAGTGTCTGCAGTGAGGAAAGTGCCACTCTCAGTGACAGTGACTCCGCCGGGAGCGACATAATCCTATATCAGCAGCAAATTGATGTTTCTCAGATGATGTACAGTCCTCATACTGTGTGGTTCGTCGACCCGTCGGCATTATCTGATCAGAACGCACTATCTTTTATGCAGTCCTGCCAGGGTTACTCTGCAGAACAGATCGCATCCCTCTATCAGCAGTATCACGCATTGAGTGCTTATGCTGCCGTACTCCACCAGCCATACCTTGGCGCGATCACCAATTTCGGTGATTCGCGTCAAAACGCTTCTTCAGAACTTCAGTCGGACGCCAATCAGCAGAACATGGTGGACATTGAGGCAATGCTACAGCGCCTCAATCCAAACGCGGAGGAGTATGTCCCATCGGCAGTGCAGCACAGGCCGACTGCTATTGTTCGGACCATTCCATCCAGATTCGCTTCTTCGAAGAGGAATTCCATGAAGAAGGTGAATCTCATTTTCCTGAACCGTCTCGTCTCGTCTCAACTTTTGGATAACTGGACCATTGAATCTGAAATCATTCTCTGTCATGCTTTGCAGCTGCAGAAGGTTCCTGCTTGCGCAGAACGTTTGCGACGACAGCCTAGAACGTCACAAATTTCCGCCGAGGTATCCATCAAGAGGACCGTTTATGTCTCTGACATTGATCAGCAGGTATTGACACCATTCATTTTTCAAGGGGAACATGACTCGTTTTGTTCAGCTGTAATTTTTGTGTGGTATCACGTGATTCCTTCCAACAGACCGTTCTCGGTAACCTTGGTCGTCTTTTGTCATCCTCTTACCTATGCAGGTTACAGAAGAACAACTTGCCACACTTTTCTTGTCTTGCGGTCAGGTATAACACTCTTGTTTTTCTTCGTTCATCATCCAAGCATTATTGATTTCAACTAATACGCTTTTGTTTCTACTCCAATCTGTCGCAGGTCGTCGACTGCCGAATCTGTGGAGACCCCAATTCTATCCTTCGATTTGCTTTTGTGGAATTCACAAACGAAGGTAAGTCATGCTCTAGTATGTTTGATTCGAGTGCTAACCCCTCGAAACCTTTTTTAACGCTACTAGACGTTGCATTGCATGTGGCCTTCATGCTGCAGAGGGAGCAAAAAAGGCCCTGACTGTAGCAGGAACCATGCTGGGTTACTATCCACTTCGTGTCTTACCTTCTAAGACTGCCATTCTACCAGTCAACCCCAACTATCTACCCAAGGTACAAGCAAGACAGCTCGTTTCTTCCTTTGCGGAGTTTGTTCGGCCCGGTGCTCAGAGATGTTAATCATTTGTCTCTCCTTGCAATGTTCAGAGCCAGGGCGAGAAGGAGATGTGTGCTCGCACAATCTATTGTACAAACATTGATAAGAAGGTGAGCTGTACTTTCAACGTTTTCCATGTTCAGGGTGTATGCCATGAGTCACAGTGACTGATGGCCTTATGTTTTTGCAGGTTGCTCAATCTGATGTGAAGCTTTTCTTTGAGTCACTCTGTGGAGAGGTATGTGTGCAAGCTATGATGGAGTTGTTACCTCCAGATTTTGTAATTTCGCTTTCCTAAATTTTCGCTCATCTTTTCATCAACAGGTTTCTCGTCTTCGGTTGCTTGGAGACTCCCAACACCCCACCAGGATTGCCTTTGTGGAGTTTGTGATGGTAAGCTTTTCTTCTTGCCTAAGGGGTCAAGCATTGTCCCTTTGGTGCTGTAAGATTCCAGAGTCCTTGCGTTGTCTGCAGTCTTCTAACATCACTAGCGCCTATTTGCAGGCTGAGAGTGCAATGGCGGCTCTGAATTGCAGTGGAGCTATATTGGGTAGCCTGCCAATAAGGTACGGAGCTGAACTATCTACTGTACTTAGCTGCAGCAGTTTTCTCGTGAAAGCTTCCTAACCAAGGCCATTCCTCCATTGTTTCCAGGGTCAGCCCCTCCAAGACGCCCTTGAGGCCAAGGGGGCCACGTCACCATCTCCTACGCTAGTCATGGGTGCTCAGCTGCTCCTGCCAACTTGCCTTCCAGGCGCAACAGTTTTTGCAGGACTCTCTTTTAGTGTACATAAGTTCTTTCCACCTGTCTATGCTGTGCTTGCTGTTCAGCCTGCTTTCCAAGTACCCATTTCTTGGCGTAAGCTAATGAAATTCTGCTTTGTGAATCTTGGTTTGGTAATAATCAATCGCATTGCCTTCCATAGCCATCAAAACTGCACAAGCAATCAAATATTGAACTCTAGCAGTGTTTGAAATTCATGTGCTCAGCTCAGTCAGATATGGGCAACATACGGTAAACTTAGTTTGAGACAAAATTATAAAGGTACAGGGTGTTCTAAGTATAATCATGAACCTGCTTCATGAACTCCACGTGGTTAGCCACGTGGTCGATTTACTGAGGTCGCAGTTTCCGAGCTTCCCCCCTTTGGGTTTGAAATGACTGACGCCACATCATGCTCACGCGGCAAAAATCTTTCTGTGGGGACCACTGGTCCACATACCACAGATTTCGACAATGTTTCTGTGAGATTGTGTGAGGACGGCTCAATCCATGAATTTACTATTTTAGAATCAACCATGGCTGATTCATTATCCGGAAGGTGCAGCTCCAGAAGCGGAATCAGGCAACATTTAGCCGGCTTTCGACGCCAATTTCTTGCCATTGCGTGTAGCTCCCTGGCAATTCTCCTCCCTTTTGTACTCTCGGTTGCCTGGGTTTCGATCTCTGCGCTTTACGTAGGTGTCGCGCAGGCACAGATACGTCAGGACAGTGCCGCTTCAGATTCTTTTGTGACCACTGCGGAGTTGGCAGCCATGGCAGAGCTTAAAGTCAGCAAGCCCGCGCTATCGACGACGCCGCTAAGCCTTCCGAATAGGATTCTCATGGGTACGCCTATCCGAAGCATTTGTACATGCTAAAAACACGAGCATTCGGGAAATTGGAGTCAGTGGAGGAACCTTGCGAATGTTTTCCTCATGTTTTTTTGCCGATGAAATGGCGTCAAATTTGACGATTAGTCCACAGCAACGTAAATTCCTCAATGGCGTTCCTGGATGACATTGCTCCGAGGTTTGGGATCATAATCTGTGCGTGAATTTTGTACATGGCGTGGGGTGAATTGTGTTTTCAACCTTCAGGTCCTGGCCCGGCAACTCCGCACCCTCGAGTCCTTGCCGCCGCATCCCTGCCTCTCGTCGGCCACGTGAGTAATTTTTCCTTCTGCGACACCTTCAACCGTCGTTTCCCGTTATAACACTATCGGTTCTTACTTCTCACGTTGCACAGACCTCCATTGGCACCTGCTCTTCATGGCTAAGGTCATGGACGAAGTGAAGTCTTGGCTGCAATACTCGCTTCAGCGGCTGAATCAGTACGAAATCGCATCGCCGTCATCCATCCCCAACCCCCCGTCACAGATGCACCCGGAGTTCCTTACCGTAATGGACGAGGTGAAGGCGTGGCTGCAGTACACCTTCCAGACGCAGAACCCGTTCACCATTGCCGTCAGCGGCTCCGGCCACGCCGCCATGGAGGCTGCCGTCGCCTCTGTGAGTCGCGCACTCCTCTCTTGGCGCTTGGGGAAGGTTCGAAGGGCTGGGAAAACCTCGAGCGGGCTGGGGGGGACTCAGGGGGGCTGGTTGCTGGCCGGGGGGGACTCAGGGGGGCTGGGTGGGGGCTAGGGGGGGCTCAGAGGAACTAGGGATCCCTAAGGAGGGAAGGTGAATGCTTGAAGGCGTAGTTGCAGTACTCCTTCCAGTCGCAGAATCCGTTCACCATCGCCCTCAGCGGCTCCGGCCATGCCGCCATGGAGGCTGCCGTTGCCTCTGTGAGTAAAATCGCTTTGACTTTTTGTTTGGGGGCCTTGGGGGCCGTGGTGGTGAAAGTGGCGGTGAAGAGGGGAGGGAGGGAGGCGGACATGAGAGCTGAATGGGCCATTGTGAGTCGCTACTTTATTTCTCGGGTGTTTGGTGGGGTTCAAGGGACGCTTGAATGGGCTGGGGGGGGTTGGGAGGGGCTTGGGGGAGCCCTGGCGGGTTGGGGGGGTTTGGAGGGGGTTCGAGGGGGCTTCACGGCAGATGCATCATGAGAGGTAGCACATGCTGGTTTGGGTTCTGTAAAGAAAACTATAAGAACAATGAGAGGACAGGAAGTCCCTTCAGTTTCAGTAAAAAACGAAGGTGCTTTTCTTTCACTCGCGTTTGGTTCCCATGCCAGCTGGGGTGAGCGCATGACGGTCCTAGCAGCTGGGTTCTTGAGGCGCCTCAAAAGTCATCTCTCTCTCTCTCTCTCTCTCTCTCTCTCTCTCTCTCTCTCTCTCTCTCTCTCTCTCTCTCTCTCTCTCTCTCTCTCTCTCTCTCTCTCTCTCTCTCTCTCTCTCTCTCTCTCTCTCTCTCTCTCTCTTTCTACTTGTCCCTCTACCTCTCTCTCTCCCCTGTGTTAGGTGGTGGAGCCTGGCGATGTGGTGCTGGTGGGAGTGAACGGCATCTGGGGCGAGCGCATGACGATCCTGGCAGCTAGGTACGGCGCTGACGTCCGGAAGATGGAGGCAGCACCGGGGAAGGTGTTCTCTGTTGCTGACGTGGAGAAGGCTCTGGCGGATAACCCAGGCGTGAAGGTGGTGTTTGTGGTGCATGGGGAGTCGAGCACGGGGACGCTGCAGCCTCTGGAAGGGTTGGGAGAGCTCTGCCACAAGCACGGTGAGGGGATGCACGGTGAGAGGATGCACGGTGAGGGGATGCACGGTGAGAGGATGCACGGTGAGGGGATGCACGGTGAGGGGATTCACGGTGAGGGGATGCACGGTGAGCCACGTGAAGTGAAAATAAAAAGAGTGTTTTTGAGACGTCTCAAAAACACTCTGCCACAAGCACGGTGAGGCGCTTGCTTTTATCATTCGGGCGTAACGAGGATGTCGGATGTTTTTTACAGCGTTCCTTGTCCACATTTCCCTCTATAACCCTGGCCACATGTCCCTCATACACCCTCCCATGTATGTGTCCCTTCCCCTCTCCCACGGGTGCTGCTGTTCGTGGACGCTGTGTGCACGCTGGGAGGGGTGCCTCTGCACGTGGACGCGTGGGGCGTGGACGTCATTTACAGCGGCTCCCAGAAGTGCCTCTTCGCACCACTCTGCCCTTACCCTTCGTCTCCACACCACACACATGTCCCTCCCGTTTGCCCCTTCCCCTATCCCAGGCGCGCTGCTGTTTGTAGACGCTGTGTGCACGCTGGGAGGGGTGCCTCTGCACGTGGACGCGTGGGGCGTGGACGTCATATGCAGCGGCTCCCAGAAGTGCCTCTTCGCACCACTCTGCCCTTACCCTTCGTCTCCACACCACACACATGTCCCTCCCGTTTGCCCCTTCCCCTATCCCAGGCGCGCTGCTGTTTGTAGACGCTGTGTGCACGCTGGGAGGGGTGCCTCTGCACGTGGACGCGTGGGGCGTGGACGTCATATGCAGCGGCTCCCAGAAGTGCCTCTTCGCACCACTCTGCCCTTACCCTTCGTCTCCACACCACACACATGTCCCTCCCGTTTGCCCCTTCCCCTATCCCAGGCGCGCTGCTGTTTGTAGACGCTGTGTGCACGCTGGGAGGGGTGCCTCTGCACGTGGACGCGTGGGGCGTGGACGTCATATGCAGCGGCTCCCAGAAGTGCCTCTTCGCACCACTCTGCCCTTACCCTTCGTCTCCACACCACACACATGTCCCTCCCGTTTGCCCCTTCCCCTATCCCAGGCGCGCTGCTGTTTGTAGACGCTGTGTGCACGCTGGGAGGGCTGCCTCTGCACGTGGACGCGTGGGGCGTGGACGTCATATGCAGCGGTGACTCTGCCCCCATTTCCCTCCCGCACATCTGCCTGTCCCCCGTCCTCCCAGGCGCACTTCTATTCGTGGATGCTGTGTGCACGCTGGGAGGGGTGCCTCTGCACGTGGACGCGTGGGGCGTGGACGTCATTTACAGCGGATCGCAGAAGTGCCTGTCAGCGCCCGTCGCCCCCTCGCCCCTCTCTCTCAGCGAGAGGGCCCGTGCAAAGCTCGCCAACCGCTCCACACCTGTGAGTCTGGAATAAGGGGAGCGACTGGAACGGAAAGGGAGTATTGAGATGTGGAAGACGCACAAGTGCCTCTCTGCGCCCGTCGCCCCCTCGCCTCTCTCTCTCAGCGAGAGGGCCCGTACAAAGCTCGCCAACCGCTCCACACCTGTGAGTCTGGAAGAAGGGGAGCGACTGGAACGGAAAGGGAGTATTGAGATGTGGAAGACGCACAAGTGCCTCTCTTCGCCCGTCGCCCCCTCGCCTCTCTCTCTCAGCGAGAGAACCCGTGCAAAGCTCGCCAACCGCTCTAAACCTGTGAGTCTTGGATAAGAGAAACGAGTGGAAAGGGTAGTGGGAAGGAATGTGGAGTGGAGAGAGATGGGGAAGGGTGTGGAGGCATGGGATGGGGTGTTGGGGAGGGCTTCCTCTCTTTTCCCTCCCGGCCGTGCGGCCCTCCTCTTGTTTTAACTTATTCCCTGCCTACCATAGAAATCCGGTGCTCTTCCCATCTCCATTCCCCTCTACCCTCTTATGCTGGTTCTTGGTTGTTGTTGGTTGCTGGTTGTTGGCAGTTTCAATTATTTTATTTGGGCAACCAACTCGTTGAGACAAGGCCTGTGTTTAAATGCGATTCCTTCCCCTCCCACCCCTTCCTTCCCCTCCCCCTCCCTCCCACCCCTTCCTTCCCCTCCCCCTCCCTCCCACCCCTTCCTCCCCCTCGCCCCCGGCCTATCATTCCTTCTCGCCAGGCCTGGTGACCAACGTGAACGCCATGAGGGAGGCACTCGCGATGCTGGCAGAGGAGGTGAGTTGCCATTGCCTGGCTAGCCTGCCAAGCCATTCCGTTTTGAGGCGCCTCAAAACTAGGGAGGCACTCGCGATGCTGGCAGAGGAGGTGAGTTGCCATTGCCTGGCTAGCCTGCCAAGCCATTCCGTTTTGAGGCGCCTCAAAACTAGGGAGGCACTCGCGATGCTGGCAGAGGAGGTGAGTTGCCATTGCCTGGCTAGCCTGCCAAGCCATTCCGTTTTGAGGCGCCTCAAAACTAGGGAGGCACTCGCGATGCTGGCAGAGGAGGTGAGTTGCCATTGCCTGGCTAGCCTGCCAAGCCATTCCGTTTGAGGCACCTCAAAACTAGGGAGGCACTCGCGATGCTGGCAGAGGAGGTGAGTTGCCATTGCCTGGCTAGCCTGCCAAGCCATTCCGTTTTGAGGCGCCTCAAAACTAGTGAGGCACTCGCGATGCTGGCAGAGGAGGTGAGTTGCCATTGCCTGGCTAGCCTGCCAAGCCATTCCGTTTGAGGCGCCTCAAAACTAGGGAGGCACTCGCGATGCTGGCAGAGGAGGTGAGTTGCCATTGCTTGGCTAGCCTGCCAAGCCATTCCGTTTGAGGCACCTCAAAACTAGGGAGGCACTCGCGATGCTGGCAGAGGAGGTGAGTTGCCATTGCCTGGCTAGCCTGCCAAGCCATTCCGTTTTGAGGCGCCTCAAAACTATGGAGGCACTCGCGATGCTGGCAGAGGAGGTGAGTTGCCATTGCTTGGCTAGCCTGCGCTGCCAAGCCATTCCATTCCATCTTGTGCTGCGAACAGAAGGGGTGGGGTACGAGCGAACAGATCACTTTTGACTGGCTGGCGGGTTTTGAGGATCCTCAAAAGTCGCCTCAAAAGTAGCCATTCCGTTCTGTACTGCGAACAGAAGGGGTGGGGTACGAGCGAACAGATCACTTCTGACTGGCTGGCGGGCTGATTTTGAGTCGACTCAAGAAGGGGCGAGGTGCGAACAAACAGATCACTTTGGACTTGCTGGCGTGCTGTTCTGGTAGACGGCGGGTGTGGTACAATGTTTCTCGAGATTTTCTCGCTGTCTGCTTTCCTCTAAAGAATCTCTGTCCTTCTTGTATGAGTGAGGCCAGGGGAAGCACTACACAGGGGCGTTGGGACATCAAGACTGTGAACGCCTCTCCTCTTTTCTGTTTTGCATGACAGGGTCTGGAGAATGTGTGGCAGCGCCATCGCAGCCAGGCGGAGCTGCTGTGGGCAGGGTTGCAAGAGGTGAGGGGCCCATCAGGGTTGAGATGGCTCGCTGCATGGGCAAAGGGCTACGTGACTATCATTTCTAGTTTTGACTGTTCGTTGGGCGTGTGGTAAGCTGGGGAATACCAGCGGACTTTCTCTCTCCCATGTTTGCTTCTCTCCTCTATCCTCTACCTCCCTCTCAGTTGGGACTAGAGCTGTTAATAAAGTATCACGATTCCTGCCTGCCCACCTACCTTTCTTCTCTCTTCCCTTTTGTCTCCCCTCCTCTGTCCCCTGCCCCTCTCTCAGCTGGGACTGGAGCTGTTTGTGGAGGACCACGATTCTCGCCTGCCCACCTACCATTCTCCTCGCCTTCCCTTGTTGCTTCCCTCCTCTCTTTCTCGCTTCCCTTTTCTCTTCTCTCCTCTGTCCTCTGCTACCCTCTCAGCTGGGACTGGAGCTATTTGTGGAGGACCACGATTCTCGCCTGCCCACCGTGACAACAGTGAAGGTGCCTGAAGGAGTGGAGTGGACTAAAGTCACAGGTGAGTGTGAGACACTTTCCCTGGGAAATCGCCTCTTGAGCCTTGGTTCCTAGATAGAAGAGCCACACTATTGCTTCTTCAGTTGGAAAACGTGGTCACGCTGTTTTGCCTGCCTGTCCCATGTGCCATTGCAGGCCATCTTATGTCGAAGTTCAACTTGGAAATAGCTGGAGGACTTGGTCCCACAGTTGGCAAGGTACCGCATGTGTTGGATTTGTGTTGTGTTGTGTTAAAAAATCACTGCAACGACATCATAGATTGCTGGAGTGAACTGCGAACTGTGTCAATGGTTGGTTGATCTGACATCACCTTCTTGTGTTTCTGTCATTGTGGTAACCAGGTGTGGCGAATTGGTCTCATGGGGAACAATGCCCGCCCTGCTAATGTAGCACTTCTTCTGGAGGCCCTGAAGGATGCGCTTGAGCATGCAGGGTTCACTCCCAAGAAGGCGACTGCTTAGGTAGTATGGTACTTGGTGCATTTGTAACCACCATGATATGAGCCTGCTCAGTAACCTGGCTTTTCCCATTGACGTATGTTTATGTACAACCAGTATTTATGTCATTTTTACAAAGATTAACGAGTTGTCAACAATGTGGAGTCGTAACCATTTTGTGCTTATTTGCTTTTTTTCCAACTATATGAGCCTGCTTTAGTAAGCTGGCTTTTCCCAGTGACGTATGTTTATGTAAAACCAATATTTCTGTCATTTTTATAAAGATTAACGAGTTGTCAACAATCGGAGTCGTAACCATTTTGTGCTTATTTGCTTCTCCCAGCTGGCCCGCGCACGGGCCACGCAAGTTTCCATTCCAGTGACATTGCTGCTTGCCTTGCCAGGGCATGGGCGTGTCAGCACAGAAACCAATCATGCGAAACGTCCAGCGATTTTTGCCATTTGCAACGACGTACATCTTCTTCGCTAGTCCCTGCTCGCAACGAATCACGCCATTGCTCTCGTCGCGAATCAAGCTTCTGGTCCGAGTCGCGCGTCCAGTCGATTTCGTCCCCATTGGAAACATTGCATCCTCCCAGATTTCTTCTTCCACCAAACTAGACGAGTCGAAGAGGTTAGGGGGGCTGTTTCTATCCTCACTTCAACCTCAAAGCTCCAACCTCGGAAACTCACAGCTGAAGAAGTCACACGAACCTTGGGAGCTCAGACCTTGGAAATACAGGCTCTAGAAGCCCAAGTCTCGGGAATAGCTGTCCTCTCTCGTGCTGACCTGTTCCGTGCATCAAACGCGGACCACATTCTTTGCTCCAACCGACAATCTAGGTGACTGCGCGGAAAGGGATTCAACAAATCAGAGCTCCTGGATCCGAGGGCGCGACTCGAACTTTCAAATCATTGCGCGGGAACGAGTGCTTCCTATTACACGCGACGCGAACCGACCGAAGACTCGTTGGGTCCAAGTCAGAAAGTATATAAAGCGAGGGCCTTCCAAGCTGACGAAGTACAACTGAGCTGTGCAGCAATTCCATCTCTCATTTCAACAACCACCTCGATAACTTCGACCGCAACTTCCCTTCAAACTCCCAGCAGAAAAAACTCCACGTTCTCCTGCTGACACGTGCTCTGCTTTGTATATACTGTGCTTAACTTCCTCCGACGTTTGCTGCCAGTGGCACGCAACGCACCCAGTGCCAGCGCGTCTTAGCTCTCGATCGATCAGCGCGTGCCAGAATCAGACTCTTGACGCTGTACATACTTCGCTGACGTCAACCAGATATGACTCAGCTGTACATAATTCGCTGACGTCATCCATCACTCGGGACCGTAGAACGCCGCTCACTAACTCCCCTGCTGCCAATAGCCTCCCTCGGGTGCCTTCACACATGAAGAAGACACCCACGCGCCGCCAAATTCGACCATTTTAGCGGCACTGCTGACGACGTAGAACAAACTGCCTACCAGAACAGCCCTCAGTCAACGCCGTCAGCACTTAGCGTCTGATTCAATCTTCCCAAAAACAATCGTCTCCGTCCCCTCACACAAACCTCCGTACTCGTTCGGTCGGGGGATAGATTCGTCGCATCTCAAGCATCTCGCATTCAATCAAGATCGCCGTAGCTTAGTCAGCTCGACGCAGCAGAGTAATCCCCACAATTGCCAACACGGTTGCAATTCCACCACCTCACCATCTCAGCTTCGCGTTCACTCGCTTCCGACGAGTGGCTTCGAATTCCGGAGCTTTCCCTCACAGCTTCGCGTTGCACTCCGCAACTTTCCAGCCGATTGCCTGTCCGTCAAGGCGTACCGCTGGTAGCATCCCGCTTCGTTTCCTGCTGGGTCTCCTTGACGCTGCTCCTCCTCCGCGACTTCGCGTCTCTGGATTCTGCCTACGCTACCCCCACTGGGCTGTGAATATTGTAAATAGACTGGTTCAAGATTCGTTTTACTCGCTTCAGACGTGGATTTAGCTGACGCTATCTCGCGCTGTTGCCTCTTGTGTTGGGTGGCCCTCGCGCTGCGCTGCACTCAGCTTCGTCTTGAGACCTCTTCAGACACCTCAAGAACCCAGCTTCCGCTGCCATCGCCATGGCTCCTTTGGCTCCTCTGGTTGCTTCCCCAACGGCCGCTTCGACGAGGGTTGAGAGGCCAAGCATCTCCACCACGCCTCTGACGCTCCCCAACCTCCTGCTCATGAGTGAGTTGCTTTTCTTCACGTGTGAGTACTGAGGGTCAGTGAGTGAGTGAGTGCTCACGAGTGAGTGAGTGAGTGCTTTTAAATGAGTGGGTGAGTGCTCATGAATGAGTGAGTGGGAATGAGTGGGTGAGTGCTTACGCATATGAGTGAGTTTTTACGAATGAGTGAATGAGTGCTCATGAAGGAGTGAAAGCATGCGAGTGAGTGAATTACTGCTCACGAGTGAGTGTTGAGTCGACTCTAACGTCACCACTTACTCCCACGTTCCCAAATGCCCTGCTTACGAGCGAGCACGCGTCTCACATTCAGATTACCACTCACCAAGCCCGCTCTGAATGCGTCACATGCGTCTCTCATCCTTCTCACCTCACACCGTTCTGCCTACTCTCTCTTACCCCCTCCCTCATCAACCTTACCCCTCCACAGGTCTTGGCCCATCGTCTCCCCATCCACATGTCCTCCCTGCTGTTGGTTCGCCAATTTTCCAGTCAAGTAAAAATGCCTCCTCTCTCTTACCCCCTTCCTCATCAATCAACAGGTCCTGGCCCATCGTCTCTCCTTCCACGTGTCCTCCCTGTTGCTGGTTCGCCAAATTTAGTAAAGTAAAAAATGCCTACTCTCTCTTACCCCCCCCCCCCCCCCCCTTCCCCCCATCAACCTTGCCCTCCACAGGTCCTGGCCCATCGTCTCCCCACCCACGCGTCCTCGCTGCTGCTGGTTCGCCCCTTGTCGGCCATGTAAGCATTTCCATGCTAGGTGTCAGGCCCTGGCATGTCCATGCTTAGGACTTGCTTCATTTGTAAGCTTTGATGCTCCTTGAGACACATTCTTATCCACTAACGCTCCTCACCTCCACCATTCACCCTCGTCCGTCACCCACGGTACATCCTTGTGATACATTCTTCTGTCCCGCCTGCTTGTATGGCGTACAGATGCACCATTGAACCCCCTGCCTGAATCACGTCCATATCCCTTCTTTCACCCTTATCGCCCAACCATGGCGCCCGCCTGCTTGTATCGCGTACAGATGCACCCTGCGCTGCTCGGTGCGGTCGATGACGTGCGCGAGTGGCTCAAATACGTCTTTCAGACGCGCAACCGCTTCACGCTCGGCGTCAGCGGCTCGGGTCACGCCGCCATGGAAGCTGCTGTGAACGCCGTGAGTCGCAAACTCCTCTCTTGGGTGCTTGGGCGGAGGGGCGGGGTGGGGCTGAGGGGATTGGGGGGTCGTCAGCGGCTCGGGTCACGCCGCCATGGAAGCTGCTGTGAACGCCGTGAGTCAACTCTTGTCAATGTTCACGATTTTTCGCAAACTCTCGTCAATCCTCGTGAATTCTCCTCAACTCTTGACTATGACCCTCGCTAACGGCTCCTCCCTGCGTTTCTCCTCCCGCTACTGTCACACCTCAGGTCGTGGCTCCCGGCGACGTCGTGTTGGTTGCGGTGAACGGCATGTGGGGCGACCGAATGGCGCTGCTCGCGCGGCGACACGGCGGCGACGTGCGAACGATTCAGGCGCCTCTGGGGGAGGTGTTCACTCTCGACGACTTCGCGCGCGCGCTCGAGGCGAACCCGGCGGGAGTAGCGGCGGTGTTTGTGGTGCACGGCGAGTCAAGCACAGGGACGCTGCAGCCTCTGGAGGGGTTGGGGGACCTCTGCCATAAGCACGGTAAGGGGATGCGCTTGAAACGAGTCAGTCTGTAATGCGTTTGCTTGTAACGGGAGGTTTGAAGGTTTGGGAGTCGCGGCGGTGTTTGTGGTGCACGGCGAGTCAAGCACGGGGACGCTGCAGCCTCTTGAAGGATTATAGGAGACCTCTGGCACAAGCACGGTGAGGTGTCTCTTCTCCTCGCGTAGTATGGGAGGTTCTCGCGTAACGAGATCAATTCTAACGAGAATGCCGGGCGCGAAAGGCGGTGTTCGAGGTGCACCGCGAATCGAGCATGTGCGCGTTGTCGCTTTTAACATCTAGAGTTGCGGCTCGATCTAATGCTGCTTCGAGAATCGGCCTGGAGTCCACGGCGAAGTCTCCTTGATGAAGGTTTTGCGATAAATTAGGAATTTCGAAAGTAGGCTATTGTGGTTCCTGTTTCCCCCGAACCACACCCCGAAGTAGTAGGCAGTCAAATGATTCTCGCCTCCAGTTCTTTCTGAACAAATTTGCAGCTGCAGCGGATACTCTTCCCCGCATGTTTCCGCGCGTGTCTCCGCGCATGTCTCCGCGGCAATGCTGAATGCGGAAATTTCTTGCCCTCGTTCTCCTGCGGTGTTCCCCTCCCGCGCCATCAGGTGCACTGCTGGTGGTCGATGCGATTTGCACGGTGGGAGGAGTGCCTGTGCTGATGGACGAGTGGGATATCGATGTGTGCTACAGCGGGTACGTGGTACACTGTTGTAATGGGAGCTTTTGTCTATATTTCAGAATTGCATCTTCCACTTCACCTCATATATGAGTCGTGTTTCTGAATGTTTCAGGTCTCAGAAGTGCTTGTCATCGCTTGTATCACCATCGCCATTCTCCATGAATGAGCGTGCAAGACAGAAGCTCAAAAGCAAGGCACACCAGATCCAGACGTATTACTTCGACATGAACGTGGTAATATATTCTGCTTAATTGTCCATGCTTTTTTGTTATTTCATAGAACCCCAATTGCCTTGTTGCGACATGGATGCAATTACACGTGCATAGGACTTTTGCCGTATACTCATATTTGCGTACTCGTTATACGACAGGCTGGAGCTTTCTGGGGCGTCGATGGCAAGCCACACGTGTACCATCACACATGTAAGTATGAACACTACACCAGCATTATTGAATCTAATCTAACCTCGTAGTTCGCTGTTCTGCCCTCCACCGCATTTGATCTTGAAGCACCAACTGCCAACACCAGTGTATAGTCACTGGTACCTAAAAATGTGAGCCTCACCTCTGACTTGCTGGTTCCCCCCATTGTGTTTGGTGGTCTCAATGCAGCGATTGGCAGCAACATCATGGCCATCAGGGAGGCGCTAGCTTTGGTGGTGGACGAAGGGTTAGAGAGCGTGTGGCACCGCCACCGCTCCCTGGCTGATAGGCTCTGTGCTGGAATTGAGGAGGTGAGCAAGGGAGAAAGGGGCAAGCAGCCTTGCTTGTACTGATGGTAGTTCCGAGGTATTGGTGGTGGTGGTGGAGGTGGTGGTGGTGTGTGTGTGTGCAAGTGTTTCTGTATGTTTGTGTGTGTGTGTATGTGTGTGTGTATGTGTGTGTGTGTGTGTGTGTGTGTTTCGCCCGCACCACGATCCTTTGGCCGACAGGCTCTGTGTGCTTGGTGGTGTCAAGGAGACGGGCAAGGGAGATTGGAATGAGATCACTTTTGAGAATTCTTAAAAGTGATTTCAACGTAGCTTTACTCTGGTGCTGGAGCCACAGTGTCCTCATCTTCTCCTTGAACCACTCTTGAACCACCCTTTTGCGCCTTTTCCTCGCCGCCACATTGGCTTGTATTCTGAGGCGCCTCAAAAGCTGGTGGTGCTTTTGTATTGTTAACCATTTTCTCCATATTCTCCTTCAACTACTCCCTCGCCATCTTTCCTCGCTGCTCAATGAGTTGGATCTCAACCTCCCCCCCCCCCCCCCCCCCCCCCCCCCCCCCCTCCTCCTCCTCCTCCTCCACCCCTCCTTCCCCACCCCCAGCTGGGGCTAGAGCTGTTCGTGAAGGACCCCTCTATCCGCCTGCCCACCGTGACAACCATCAAGGTGCCCGAAGGGGTGCAGTGGGCGCAGGTGACGGCTTACCTCATGGAGAAATACAACCTCGAGATTGCCGGAGGGCTGGGACCCACCGTTGGCATGGTGAGTGGGAGAGCGAGGGAGTGAGGGAATGGGGTTGGTAGTGAGGGGGTCTGTAGATGATTGAAGGTGGAAGTGCGAGTGTGAGACGGTACAGTGGGCGCAGGTGACTGCCTACCTCATGGAGAAATACAACCTCGAGATTGCCCGGAGGGCTGGGACCCACCGTTGGCATGGTGAGTGGGAGAATGATGAGGGTGTGAGGGAATGGGGGTGGTAGTGGGGATGGTAGTAAGATTGTGAGGGGGTGCAGTGGGAGCAGGTGACGGCTTACCTCATGGAGAAATACAACCTCGAGATTGCCGGAGGGCTGGGACCCACCGTTGGCATGGTGAGTGGGAGAAAGTGAGAGGGCGGGGGAATATGAAGGTTCTTGAGTGGGTTTGTGGTGCGAGTGTGAGGCGGTGCAGTGCGAGTGTGAGGCGGTGTAGTGGGTGCTGGTGACGGCTTACCTGATGGAGAAATACAACCTTGAGATTGCCGGGGGGCTGGGACCCACTGTTGTCGTGGTGAGTTAGTGAGAGTGGGACTAAACGGCTTTCTTGCCAAACATGGTGATCTCTTGCCACGCTGCAAGCCCTTCCACGTTGCCTAGCTGTGTTTCTTCTGGCTTCTCTGACATGTGGCGCATCAGGATCAAATGAAAAGCAAGGAGAGGCGAATGACAAGTGGACTTCAACATGTTTCATCCTCCTTCTCCTTCACCCCCCTCTCTCCTCTCAGGTGTAACGCATTGGCATCATGGCCAACAACGCTCGCCTCCCCAACGTGGCTCTCGTGCTGCGAGCACTTAAAAACGCTTTGCACCACCCTTTCCTCCCCTGTCGCCTATCAGGTGTGGCGAATTGGCATAATGGGCAACAACGCCCGTCTGGCCAACGTAGCTCTCGTGCTGCGAGCACTCAAAGACGCTCTGCAACACGTCGGCTTCCTGCCTCGCCTCTCACAGTGCTGCTGCTGCTGCTGCTGCTGGTACAACTACTGCTGCTACAGCTTCTGCTGCTGCTTCTGCACCTGTTTCCAAGCCTGTGGCGGCCTCCCCTACAGTTGCTGCAGCGCCTATTGTCGTGCAGTGACCCACTTGCACGCTTTCTCTGCGGATACCGTACTGTGGAGGCACCTTGGGCACGTTACCTCTGCAGGTAGTACCGTAGGTGCCATGGAGGTTGCAGTTGGTACCGTACTCCTGGAGGCTTCACGTACTTTAGATTTTTGAGGCCTCTCGAAACTAGGTGCTCTCTGCAAGTACCTTGGAGGTTGCAGTTGGTAAGGTACTGGTACTCCTGAAGGCTTCCAACTGAGCTGCTATTTGCCGCTTTGAAGAGTTCTCAAAGAGTAAAAGCTGCTCTTGTGTCACTTTTGAGAATGTTTTAGAGTGAAAGTTGTACGTGTGCCACCATTATATCAGTGCAAGCCCTTTGCAGTGCTTATGTGCATATATCCCTGTGAGAGTTTTGGTGTGTACACAGGCGTGCGTTTGGATGAATGAGGAGCACATGAATCGTACTCGCTACAGTGAGACTCGTTTTTGTACACCGTGTTATGGCATGCTGCCACCTTCGTCATCCATTCACGAAAAGAATCCCCTTCGAAGATTGGCTTGGCTAGCATAAATTAGGAGAATAAATCACAATAGATCACAACAGGGGTTGTTGTAACAAGAAGGCTTCCATCTAAAACCTCCCTACACCACACACGTCTGCATGCTAAACCTGTACAATGTACCATACAATCATCACGAGTCATCACGACTCACAACAAGCGGGTTGCTCTCTTCCACCTCCCCCGCACACCACCCATACGCAAGCCTGCACGATCGCCGAGCAAGCCCAGCCGACCAAGTGCAGACCTCCCGCAGCACTGAGCAGCCATTAAATATCCACATAAGAACCAGCTGAAGCAGCAAATCCAGCAGCCTCAGAAGCAGAAACAGAGGTTTAACATGCAGCAGAAGCCACATCCTCTTTGCTCGGACTCCGGGAATGCAGTCAAACAGAGACAAGGCTGAATCGGCCCCCACCCCTTCCAAATCCAGATGTTGCAGTTTGGGTAGCTGCTTGCTGGATAGGTCCAGGAGATTTTCCAGGTTGCCCAGGGAGTGTAGGGTGAGCGTGTGAAGGGCAGGGAAGGAGAAGGTTTCCGGGAGGGAGGAGATGAGCGGGCAGTAGGAAACTTTTAGTTCGGTGAGGGATACTAGGCCCAGGTGTTGTTCGGTGATATCAGGTGTGGAGTCTAAGAGAGGGATCGATACATAGGCAGAGGCAGAGGTAGAAACTAGGTCTGGGTGTTGTTCGGTGGTATTTGCTGCAGAGTCGAAGACAGGGATAGATACACAGGCAGAGACAGGGGCAGAGGCAGAGGCAGACGCAGACGCAGACGCAGAGGCAGAGGCAGACGCAGACGCAGACGCAGTGGCAGTGGCAGTGGCAGAGGCAGTGGCAGTGGCAGAGGCAGTGGCAGGGGCAGGGGCACCGGCATATAAAATGGAGGAGACCAGCAGTGCAGCAGCAAGCAGCATGGCATGGTGAAACCACGCAGTGGGCACCAGAAAAACCAACAGAGCCACCACAAGAAGAAGCATCGACAGAACGATTGCGACAACGTTCTCGCTTCTTGCAGCAGCAGAAGCGAACAGGGCAGCAGGGACAAGCATCACCGAAGGTCGGATGCCCAGTGCGGTGGAGGCCGGTGCTATGATCTCTTGCACGGTGCGAAGCGGTATGGAGATCAGCAGCATCGCGGCATAGACCGCAGCAGTGCAGAGTACAGCCGTAATCACAATTTCAGCCAGACTCAACGATTCCGACTCACTTCCGGATCCTTCAATGGGGTTTGGAGGGGTCAGCGGTTTCAGGGACTCTATAAGGGAGCATGACTCGATATGGAGTGATTCTAAACGAGTCAGTTTGTACAGTGCGGAAGGAAGCTCCTGTAGCTTCTCGCACCGCGTCAGACTCAGCTTTTCCAGGCATGCCCGCAGGCTGCCTTCACAAAATTTATCGGGCAGATGCTCCAGCGCGGGCAGATAAAAATCGAGCGTTTTCAACCGGGGTAAATTACCAGGCTTTCGGGCAATGCCCGGATTTCATCAAGGAAGAGGAGATTTAGGGTTTCCAGATGGGACAAGGCGCCGATGTGGTGTGGGAGGGAGGTCAGGGAGGAGGAGGAGATGGAGAGGGAGGAGAGGGGGAGGAAGCAGATGCTTTCTGGGAGGATCTCGAGGGAATCACAGTGGTTGAAGGAAAGATGCTGCAGCTGAGTCAGCCCTGCCATAACATTTTCGGGCAGGCATAGCAGACTTCTGCATTGGAGCGAGAGGGTTTTCAGCCCGGTCAGCAGTTGCAAGGATTCCGGAATGCTCTCTAGACCATCCAGTTTGATTTCTAGGGTTTCCAGCCGAACCAAGTCGCCAATTGCGTTAGGAAGCTCCGTGATAGTTTCTGGAATTGCGTTCACCACTAGTAATGCTCAGCGTGCGAAGGGTACCACGCAAAAGGCCCACGCTCTGATCGAGTCCGAGACCGCGGAAACTCAGTCCCACGCCGATCCCCAACTCGCGCAGCTGCTGCAGCGCGCCGATGCTCTCGGGCGGCGAAACGAGCTCCAGTAACGAGTCGTGGCCATAGCGAGTACGCGAGCATACGTGGAGGGTTTGGAGATCTGTTAGGAGCGAGAGGGACGCCGGGAGATGCGGGAGGCCGTTGGTGGTGAATAGCAAGAGTTCTCTGAGCTTGCGACATCCATGGAAGAGCGACGCGAGGCCGTCTACAGTAACCGACATTTCAAACTGATGCTCCACCGTTAGATGGAGCAGGCGCGGACACGTGGCGGCCAGACAGTGAAAGAGCGCGTCGCCGTCGGCGGATAAGATGGAAAAGCTGCCCAGTGACACGTGCGTGAGGGCGGGGAAGCGGCGGAGCGCGGAAAGAAGGTGCGGAAGCGGAAGCCACGCAAGCTGCGCGTTGCGGTCGACCTCAAAGGGATGTGTCTCAAATATAGAATCATCATTCGATTTGAACCCGCGATGCTGAACGGTCAAGTGGGAGAGCGCAGACGCGGAAAGACGGAGCCAGCGCTTGGAAACGAGCGCGTGGCGGAAGGAGGTCTGCGCGAGCGAGCGGAGGACGAGCGCGAGTATGTCGTCGGGGAGGCGCTCCAGGGGGAATGGCGGCTCGGTGCGCGCGGGTGAAACCATGGCTTTTAAGCGGCTAAGGAGAGAGACTAACGCCATTGCGTGGAATATTGAAGAGGGCGATAATACCGGAGCACGAGAAGCTTTGCTCTAGTCTAAACACAAATAGTGTGATCAAGAAAATTGTTAGCACGGGAAATATGGCTGGCTGGCAATTCGCTTGGAAATTGGAACGAAATAAAATATCGATCGGTATGCTCGAGGAAAAAGTCGGTGGGGTGGTTGGCGGGAAGAGTGACATGACGTGGCAGTCGGTAAAGTCAATCACCCGAAACCCCGCCCCGCGCTTCACCATTGACAGCACAGCAGGGCTTTGACTTCGAGTCAACCCTGTGACTCTCTACAAGAGCGACGGGCAAAGTTCAATGGAAATACCGAACTTTTCTCAGCAACTCTGAAAATATTAGTTCAAAAATCAAAAGAAAGAATTTAGGGTGCAATCACTTGCGGGCTACTTTCCCTCCACGTGCCCGCTTCAGTGCCGTGACAGCATCCGCTTGCTTAGGCCCCACCACTCCCGCCATCCTCCCTGCCCCTCCTCCCCCTCCCCTTGCTCCCCCTCCCCCTGCGCCCCCTCCCCCTCCCCCTGCTCCCCCTCCCCTTCCCCCTCCCCCACCACTCCCCCTGCCAAGTGCCCGGCCTCCTCTCCCCCCATCCCTGCCCCTTCCCCTGCCTCCTCTCCCTCCAGTGCCCCCACCACCCCTCCCCCTCCCTCCCCCACCTCCTCTCTGCTGCTGCCATGCCCCCCCCCTTCCCCCTCCTCTCCCCCCACCACTCCACCCTCCCCTTCCCCCATGCCTGCCCCCTCGCCCACCATCTCGCTTCCCCCCTCCCTGCGTCCCCACTGCGCCCCACTGCTTCCCTGCTCTAGCAGTAGCCAAGGAGACAAAGGGATTTGCCAGGTGCTGGGTGTTCCCAGGGGTGGTTGCTGCTGCTGACGTGGCGGCAGCGGATGGGGTTGCTCGCAGCTGATTGGCCAGCTCAGTTGTCATGCCGGACTGACGTGTGATTGGAGAGACGGGGGAGGGGATGACAAGGTTGAAACCAGAAGGCACAGGGAATAGAGGGAGGGGAATCACATCACACAAGGGATGGAGGGGGGTGACGAGCTGAAAGGGCATAGGATGCGAAAAAGGATTAGGGATTGGGGCATAGTATTGGGGGATTGGAAGTGGGAAGTCGATCCATTCCTGGGAAGTGGGAAGTAGCGAGTGGAAGTGCTCGCAGCAGCGAGAGAGGCATTGGGCAAGGAGCAACGAAAGAGCAGCAGGCCAGGGTGCAGAGCAGGTAGCAAAGCAGGGTGGGCGGACTCACAGCAGCAATGAGTGAGCGCAGGTTGGTGGGCCTGAGGGGCTGCGAAACGGCTTGCTTCAGCGCCTGGTAACACATTCATGGGAGGGCAACACATTGGCAGGTGCAGTGCGGTGCAGTGCGGTGCAGTGGGAGGGAAGGGAATGGCACACGGGGTGTGGGATGAGTGAGCGCAGGTTGGTGGGCCTGAGGGGCTGCGAAACGGCTTGCTTCAGCGCCTGCCCCACAAAAGAACAAATTGCATGGGGAGGAATGGAGGAACACGCAGAGACATTCATTGATGTGATGTAGCAAGACAGAGGAGGAATGAAGAAACGGAGTTGGTAGCCGCACATCCTCCCCTGTTCGCATAGTTGCTCACCTCTTTCATCCTCTGCAGCTCTATCGCCTCCTGCTTCATCTGCTGCCGCCCATCCTCCCCTGTCTCACGTCTCACTCTCCTGACAGGCACCCTGAAGGTGTTGGGCCAAACCCACACTAGCTGGATCTGTCGAAGTCGTCCACTCCCTAACTAATCACAGCCTCCCCCGTGGCTCACCTCTTTCATCCGCTGCAGTTCTATCGCCTCCTGCTTCATCTGCTGCCGTCCATCCTCCCCTGTCTCCCCCGGCCCCTCCCACCCGCGCTTCTCCCCTCTCCCCACCAACCGCCTCACATCCACCCCTCGGTCCACATCTTCCTCTTCCTCCTCCTCCTCCTCCTCCTCCTCCTCCTCCTCTCCGCCCCGTGCCCTCCCTCGCCTCCTCTTACTCCTCCTCTCCTCCTCCTGTTGCTGCCTCAGTTTCTTGCTCTTCTTCCCTCTCCCTCCCCTCTCCCCCTCGTCGTCACTCTCCCCTCCTGCCTCGTCGAAATCATCAAAATCCTCCTCCTCCTCACTCTCCTCCTCATCTCCTTCTCCCCCCTCCTCTTCCTCCTCCTCCTCCTCCTCTTCCCCCCCCTCCTCCAGATTCACTTGCACCGCCTTGGAAGTGCGCTGCTTCCAGGAAGTTTCCGCCTTCTCCTTGGAGTGTTTGCGGGAGAGCGTGTCGACACTTAAAGCCAGGCTGACGCATTGCTTGAGGTTGGGAAGGTAGTTGTGATCAACTGGGAACGTGGGGAGTGGGCCGGTCTGGGGAGGGTGTGGGTGGAGGAAGGATTTTTGAGTGGGTGGAGAATGGGAAAGGATTTTTGAGTCGATTCAAAAATCGACTAGTTGTGATCAACCGGGAAGGAGGGGAGTGGGCCGGTCTGGGGAGGGTGTGGGTGGAGGAAGGAATGGGAAAGGATTTTTGAGTCTGGGTGTGGGTCGACTCAAAAATCGACTAGTTGTGATCAACCGGTAAGGTGGGGAGTGGGCCGGTCTGGGGAGGGTGTGGAGGAAGGAATGGGAAAGGCATGGGAAAGAGAGTGTGATGTTAGAGGGAGATGGTTGTTGAGAATTCTAAAAAAACAGCGAGAGGTTAGAGGGATATCGTGTCAACAATTAAAGCCCGGCACATGCATGCTCCGGACGTGGGGAGTGGGGCGTTGTGGGAAAGTCGGGGGAGAGCAATCAGAAAACGAGGGAGAGACCTGCGAGAGTCCTGCGAGAGTCCTGCAATCAGAAAGGAGGGAGAGTGAGCAAGGGTTTTGAAATCATAAAGAGTGTTTGTCGACAATGGAGAAAGGAGCAACGAGTATTTGATGGAGTCCTTTGGCGTCACCAGAGCCACGGAGCACCCCTCAGAGGAAGCACAACCAGAGGAAGCGCAACCAGTGGAAGCGCAACCAGAGGAAGCGCAACCAGAGGAAGCGCAACCAGAGGAAGCGCAACCAGAGGAAGCGCAACCAGAGGAAGCGCAACCAGAGGAAGCGCAACCAGAGGAAGCGCAACCAGAGGAAACTCGAGACTTGGCCTGCTAAAACCACACACCTTGTTGAGCTTTCGCAGCAGCAACGAGTATTTGATGGAGTCGTTTGGCGTCACCAGAGGCAGAGCAACACATAGTCCACAAGCATTGTGGTTCTGCCAAGGCAGCTCAGCACTTACCTTATTCAGTTTCCTAAGAAGCGACGAGTATTTGATGGAGTCCTTTGGCGTCACCAGAGCCACGGAGCATCCTTCTGAAGAAGCGCCTCTGGCCGTGCGGCCGCAGCGGTGCACGTAGCCCTCTGCTGTATGGGGCAACTGGTAGTGCACCACCAGGCGAACCTGGAGGGGGGGATAGAGATGGGGGGGAAAAGAATCAAGGACTCAGCAATCAGCAGTGCGACCGCAGCGGTGCACGTAGCCCTCTGCTGTATGGGGCAACTGGTATGTCTGGATGAGGGGGGGAAGCAGCAGATCAAGGTATGTCACAGTATCAGCGTTGTGCGTATCAGCAGTATCTGCTGATCTACCGATAAGCAGAGCAAGGTATGTCATAGTTTCAGCATTGCACGTGAGGTTGACTGCAGGTAGAAAACGTGGAGGAAAAGAGAGGAAGAAAGAAATGAAAAAGACACGCATCCCTTTCATTCTCTGGGTTTGCCTCTGTGTATCTCTGAGTGTGTGTGTGTGTGTGTGTGTGTGTGTGTGTGTGTGTGTGTGTGTGTGTGTGTGTGTGTGTGTGTGTGCGTGCGTGTTTTGCAGCATATACCTCGGGAACATCGAGACCTCGTGCCGCCACATCAGTGGCAACCAGCACTCCGCTAGGGTGCTGCCGAAAGCGGTCCAATGCTTTGAGACGCTGGCGCTGCTGCTGCTGCGCGTGCAGGGGGAAGGAGGGGACCTGGGGGGTGGAGGGACGAGGGAGAGGAAAACCACGTTAAAATGCACGAGTCAGCATGTTGACCTTGATTGATACCACATTGAAACGCGTATGCTCACACGTAACTTAAGACGAGCAACGCGTGAGCCCACGCTACTTAAGATGCTCACGCTACTGCGGCTGCGCATGCAGGGGGGAGGAGGGGACTTGGCAGGGGAAAAGGAAGGGGGGTAACCGAGGCCAGGCAAGGGGAATCAAGCAAAGGCGAGACCAAGGGTTGGGAAGAGAACCGCACAATGACTTACAGAGAGAGAAGAGAAGGTTTCCTGCAAGGAAAGAAGGGCGAAAAGGGTCCCTTACTTGCAGGAGGGAGAGCAGGGAGGCGAGGCGGCGGACAGAGGAGATGGCAGAGCAGAAGACAAGAGTGCGACCAAAGGTGCCGTGCATGCGGAGGAGGTAGAGGAGAAATACGTCCCTCATGCTGTCGTCACACCTGCAGGCAGAGAGGGCAGGCAGAAAGGAGGATACGTGGGTGTTGGGACGTGTTGGAATATGGGATTTACATGCGAAGAGCGCATGTGCAGAGCAATCACAGGTTCCGTGCAATCACAGGTTCCGTGCAATCACAGGTTCCGTGCAATCACAGGTTCCGTGCGTTTGCAGCACAGCACTACCTACCCTATACCCCACAGACTCAAGACCCCACCCACTAAGCCATGTGAATACATTAGCAGCAGTCTCGAATTCCACGTGTAAGTAGACGACTTTTGAGACGTCTCAAAAGCGCAGCACAGCATTAATGACCTGTTACCCTACACTACAGTACACACTCAAGACCCCATTCACTCTAGAGAAGCCTCCTGGACGCCACTGGCCACCACATCAGCAGTGGTCAAATCCACAATGGCAGGGGACTGTCGCATGCCAGTCAGCTCCATAAGTGCTGCCACCACCCTACCTGGGTCATTACCATGCGACCGGCATGGTAGGGTGGTGGCATGGTCATTACCATGCTTCTCTTACCACTCAATCCCTCGTGTACCTGCTGATCTATCAGTTCTGTAACCAAGACTCTCCTCCACTTCTTCCAGAGAAGCCTCTTGAACTCTGCTGGCCACCACATCAGCAGTGGTCAAATCCACAATGGCAGGGGAGACGGCTGCATGCCAGTCAACTCCATCAGAGCCGCTGTCACCACTCTACACACCTCTCGACCACTCACCGTACCAGCCCTTGCAGTGACCTAGACAACTCACTCTAGTGCCGCTTCTTGAACACCACTGGCCACCACATCAGCAGTGGTGAGATCCACAATGGCAGGGGACGGCCGCATGCCAGTCAGCTCCATAAGAGCCGCCACCACCCTATCCCTCTCCAGCCCCTTCTCCCTCTCCTTCTCCACCTCATCCTCCTCCCCTCCTTCCTCCCCCTGCGCTCCCTCTCTCCCTCTCTTCCTCCCGGTACGTTTCTCTGCCCCGGCTCCTCCTGGCGTTCGTTTTTTTCCTTGCAGCTGCCCGCGCGTGTCGTCGGGCAGAACGAGAGTTGCCGAGAAGACCAGAACTTGCCGCTTCTTTTTCGCAAGGGTGGGTGGCTGAAGAGGAAAGACCTCCTCCCCTCCTCCTTCTCCTCCTTCTCCTTCTTCTGCTTCTCCCTCTTCTCCCGCTTCTCCCTCCTCCCCATCCTCCTTACCGTATTCTCCTTCTGCTCCCTTCTCCCTTTTAGTATCCTCCTTTTCCTCCTCCTTTTCCTCCTCCTCTTCCTCTCCTTTCCCTTCCTTTTCCGCTTCTTCCATCCCCGCTTTCCCTTTTCTTTTCTTTCCTCTTGCTGCATCCCTCTCAGCAGCAATTTTAGCTGCCCGAGCAGCCTTTTTCGCTGCCCGAGCAGCATCTCGGGCTGCCAGAGCCGCCTCCTTCGCCTTGGCAGCAGCGAGAGAGGCCGCAGTGGGGGGCAGCATTCCCAAAATGGAGGAAAGCTCCTTGAACCTTCCTGGGTCGGCCATGCGATCAGCCTCATCGAGAACGAGAAAGGAGAGATACTCGAGCTGCGGAAGGGAGGGGGGTGGAGGGGGGGGGGGGGGGGAGGAGGGGGCAGAGGGGCAGTGGAAAATGGAAAATGGAAAATGGAAAATGGGTGATGGCGAGGGTGAAGTCATAAGGGGAACGAGAACGGAGAGGTACTAAAGCTGCAGAAGGGGGGGGGATGGGGGAAGTGGAAAATGGGGTAAGGGGGGGAATGGCGGTTGGCAGAGAGGGAAACAATAATGCAGTAGATGCGCCTGCACCAGATGGGCCTCCCCTTGGCTCATAAGCTCCCACATCTCTCCTGCACACCACATGGAGGCGCATGTAACTTCACCAATTGCCCCACATACACACCCAGACAGTCCCACCTGCACCAGATGAGCCTCCCCTTGGCTCATAAGCTCCCACAGCCGCCCGGGAGTGCCGACCACAATCTGCGGCCCGAGGCTCAGCACGCGCCGCTGCTTCACCTCCGCCATGCCGCCCACAATGCCGGCCACGTGGATGCCCGTGTGGCGGGCCGCGTCTTTTATGTGCGATACGATCTGCAGCGCAAGCTCGCGCGTGGGCGTGATGATCAGCGCTCGCAGCGGCCCCTTCACTCTCTTCCGAACCCTGCCGCCCGCCGCCTTTACCCCCTTCTTCCCTTCCCCCTCCCCTTCCCCCTCGTTATCCCCTTCCCTTCCCCCGTCCCCTTCCCCACTCCGCTCCTCCCCAACCGTCTCAGCCCCCGCGCCCTCATCCCCCTCCGCCTCCCAACCTCCTCCCCCGTCCAAACCATCTCCTTCCCCGACCCCCCCGTCCCCCCCGTCCCCCCCGTCCTCTCCCCACGCCCCTCCCCCCTCCTTCACCCTCCTCTCCTTCTCCCTCTCATCTAACAACCGCTGCAGGATCGGAATGGCAAACGCGAGGGTCTTACCCGACCCAGTTTCAGCCGCGCCCACAACGTCCCTGCCTCTGGACGCAGCGGCGGGGATGCAGGCGCGCTGAATGGGCGTGGGGGAGGAGAACCCCAGGTCTCGCAGGGCGCGGAGAATGAGGGGGTGCAGACGGAGGGGTTCCCATTCTGGCATGTCTATGTCCTCGCCTTCTCCCTCATCCCCTTTTCCTTCCACCCCCTCTGCTGCACCGTCAATTTCCATGCCCGATGCTTCGCCTTCTGCAGTCGCCTCCCCATCACTCTCCCCGTCTTCCTCTCCTTCCCCCCCTTGCTCTTCCCGTTCCTCTTCCCCTTCCACTTCTCTCTCCTTTCCCTCCTCTCCCTCCTCCCTATCCTCCGTTTCTCCCTCCTCTGTGCCCTCCTCTAGCTTCTCTCCTGCACCTTTGCTCCTCTCACTCCGCCCCCCTCGCTTCAAAGCCTTCTTCAGCTGCTTCCGCTGCAGCTTCCGCCTCTTGCTCTTGCTCATCTTCCCCTTCCCCTCCCCCTCCTCCGTTAAACTCCCCTCTAAAACCCTGTCCCCTGTCCCCCTGTCCCCCAACCCAGTTCCACAATCTCCCCCATCCGCCTCCACCGCATCCCCATCCCCGTCCCCAACTGCCGCCTCTGCTTCTTCTGTTTCCCCTTCCCCCAATTCTTCCCCCGCTTCCACTCCTCCGGCCTCCTTAAAGTCTCCGCCTTCCATCTCTCCGCCCCCCTCCTCTCCGCCCCCCTCCTCTCCGCCCTCCATCTCTCCGCCCTCTATCGCTCCGCCAGTCACCAGCCCCTCAAACTCCGCCGGGTCAATCTCCTCTAGCCCCATGAATCCTGGCGGGGGAAATGAGGGGAAGATGGGGGAAGATGGGGGGCGATGGGAGAAGATGGGGGGAAATGGGGGAAGAAAAGAAACGCGCTGGAAAACCCGAAACCCTTCACCAGAAACGCGCTGAGAAACTCAATGCCCTGAATTGGGAACTAACCAAGGATTTCGGGTCTGGGCGACACGTCCGTCCTTCTAACATTTCAAGGCACCAGCGCTAAAGTCGACTTATGAGGCGCCTGAAAAGGCACCTAAGCAACAAGTGGCATACCTCCCCGCGGCGGGGCTGCGCGGGTCCATGAGCATGTGCATTCTTTTATTTTGGCGTCACGTCCTTCCATTTCGCATTCTCAGGCACTCACGCAACAGATGCAATACCTCCTGCTGCGGGATTTGTGCGTACCTCCCGCGGCGGGATTGCGCGGGTCCATGAGCATGTGCATGCCTTCCACGGGCGTCACGTCCTTCCATTTCACCATGCTGAAATTCAACCGTCCTCCGCGGATCATCTTGCCTCCGCCCGATTTTCCTCCGCGTCCCCCGAACGCCTTTCCTGATCCGCCTCGCCGCATACTTTCACCCTTTCTACCGCTCACTGCTCCCTCGTTCTTCCCCGCCAATCCATTCCCTTTGCCGCTCGCGCTGCCGCCTTTTGATGCCCCTCGCGACGCAAGCTTTACTGCGCCGCCTCGCGTCCGTGTGCCGCCACGACCGCCTTTCATGAGTAACTGAATCTCGACAACTCGGACAAGGGAGTTTTGTGAGAACAGGCGAGGTAGTTCTTTCCTACTAGCTTATGCCCTAATTCTCGCGGCAGGGGTTATTCCCGCCGTGATGGTGGAGGTGGTGCTGGTCCACTTTGAAGGGCTTCGTTAATAGGAGCTGTGTCTTTTCTGTCCTAAGCTGATAGAAAGCACAAATTTACCAGCTTCAGGGCTGCAATGATCGCGTTACATTCGGACCCGAATTTCTTCATATTATGGTTTCGGAAAAAAGTGTAGTCAAATGTAGAATGGGAACTGTGATCGAGCAAATATTGTCCTGATGAATGGGAACTTTTGATGGAGTGTCACTTGGAACGAAAACTGCCACATCGGAGACAATATCTCCGCTCTAGGCGCTGGTGAGTCAGGCTCGTGCGGCGCGGCAATCTCGGTGGTTCCTGGGAGTTACAAAATCTCTTCAACATGGATAGTTGAGCAAATCAGAGGAGCTTTCAGCGATTCTAGACGGGAATCACAGAACAAGCCGAATTCAGAGGCACTAGCAGCTCAACAGCCAGCAACTGTCAGTATGTTCTTCACCGCATGGCCATCCTGATGGAATTTACATGACACAAGCAACATTGCGAGTCTCAGATCTCCAAAATTTTCAAGCCTGAACCTTCCCACTGCCAGCAATTAGTTGTTGAGGCTTGAGAGAGATGGCCACTGTTGCCGTCGCTGCTGCGTCCGCCAATGTCACACTGAAACTTTCAGCGTCGCGCAATGGGGTCCTCTCCTCTCGAACTCCTGCTCTAGCTCCGTTCTCCAGACTCTCCAGGACAAGTAAGATGAGGATCCACGTTTTTCTTCCTGCTATCCAGGCTTTAATTTCATTGACAATACGTACGCAGAGGCTCACGAACGGCTGACCATTCGCAGGTGTTGCGGGGAAACGCAAGCTCGCGGTGAAGGCCACTTCGCCTCAAGTGGAGGAGTACAAAGAGAAGGCCTCTGAACTTGTCGACGTTGCCAAATCCAAGGTTTCAAATTTGTTCGCAATTCTCTTCGTACTGTTCCTCTCCGCATCTAAATTGGACTTCTTATGAACGTGTCGTAATTGGCGATGCAGTGGGAAACAGTTGAAAACAAGCCTCTGGTGGCTCTGTATGCTGGTGGAGCCGTTGTTGGTCTGTGGATAACATCCGCAATCCTGGGTGCTATTGACAGCATCCCGCTGGTGAGAAGCTTACACCATGCAATTGCCGGCTAGTAGCCGTCACATGTATCAGAACATGCTTCGCGCAATTTATAATGCATTTCCTCTCATACCACGCTGCAGGTTCCAGGTTTCTTGAAGCTCGTTGGAACCGTCTACACTGGATGGTTCATCTACCGCTACTTGATCTTTGAGGTCAGTTGTCATGTCAAGTGAAAGTGGTATCGTCAGTACCTGTTCCGAGCTAACTACTCTGCCTTTCTTCCACCGCAGGCTTCCCGTAAAGAGCTCTCTGAAAAGGTGGCGGATCTTATCTCCCAGATTAAGTGATGCTATACATGTTACATACCTAGGGAGCAAGTCCCACAGCATATGCACGTCGGGCTGCATAAACATTTATAACAAGCTAATTTCATTGTGCGTCAAAATTGTTGATGTATTACAAGGATGGAAAGAACTATTTTCCAGATTTTCAGTCAGCAAGACGTCCCCTCTCAGCAACTAAACACAGCGGAATGACTTGCATTGATTGAGTTGGGGTACAAGTACCTAACCCTAATTGTTTGTACCCCATATAGTATGACCCACTAAGGGCTATAACATTTGACACACCCCCATAGCCTAAGTGGGGAATGCCAAGTAACAGAACACAACCTAAGGTCACAAGACCAGTCACAAGCAAGCGAGAAAACAAAGCTCAGGGTGGATCTCAACGTCACCACACATTCTGAGCACAAACAAGTGGCCACAAGGCCAGTTCAAGAGTGTACAAGCTAATATATATATGGTACAAACAAGCAAGAGGCAAGAACTCACTACTGCAGTCTACTAGACCCAGTCTCAACAAGGCCTAACTGCAGACAAAACCGGCGGTGGTCACAAGGCTGAAGAGCCTTGGTGAAGATGTCTGCAGTGTTGGCCTCGGAGGCCACGAAGTCCAGACGTGCCTGTCCACGTCTCTGCAACTCTCAAAGGAGGAAGCACCTAACGTCGATATGCTTCACCCTGCTCTCCAGTCGAGGCTCACGACACAGGAGAATCATCGCCTTGTTGTCAGCAAACAAGGTCGGTGCAGAGCTCGGCCGCTCACCAAGGTCAGTGAGCAAGAAGGTCAACCAGCGTAGCTCCTGTGCAGCGAGGGCTCCAGCGTAGATCTCGGCCTCTGCGGTAGAAGTCGCAACAGAGGAGGACCGAGTAGACCTCCACGAAACAGCTCCAGAGCCCAGGCTGAAACAGTAACCCTGTGTAGACCTCTGTGACTCAACGTCGTCGGCGTAGGAGGAGTCGCAGTGACCGGTGAGTACAACTGGCTGTGTCCCTCCAAGTACAAGCCCCATGTCTGATGTCGCGCCGAGGTACTTCGCCACCCTCTTAGCTGCCGCCCAGTGAACAGGACGGTGTCTCCCTGTCGCAACAAAGCGAGAAAGGATGCTAAGAGGGAAGGCGAGGTCCGGGCGAGTGCACGTCATCAGGTACATGAGGCAGCCCACCAACTCTGCGTAGGGACCACTGGGCTCGAACGGCTCGTCAGGAAAAGGCCCAGTGAGTCTGTGGTCTACAGCAAGAGGGGTGGGAGGAGGAGAGGAGTGCTGAAGCCCGAACCGCTGAAGGACCTGCTGCACCATGTGTGACTGAGTCAGAGTGATGGTGCGAGCGGCTCTGTCCCTGGAGATCTGCAGGCCAAGGTAGCGGCGCAGTTCCCCAAGGTCAGTGCAGGTGTGTCTCTTCTGCAGTTCGGACTTCACCTCCGCCAGTGCAACTGTGTCGGCTGTGGCAAAAACCAGGTCGTCAACGTAGACAAGAACAAAGAAAGGTGTGCGCCCACGACGAACAAACAGCGACGGGTCGGCGGAAGACGGCTCAAACCCAAGGTCGGACAGAGTAGAGCGGAGAGTGTCGTGCCACTCACGGGGTGCCTGGCGGAGACCGTAGACCGGTCGTCTGAGGCTCCACTGGGTCCCAGGCGGGAAAGTGCCAGTGAAGCCCGGAGGACGACGCAGCCAGATCTCCTCGTGTAGGCTGCCCTGCAAGAAGGCAGTGGAGAAGTCGAGAGAGTGTAGCTCGTAGTCTCTCTGCGCTGCTACGTGCAGTAACACCCGAAGAGTGGTCATCTTCGGGGTGGGCGCAAAGGTCTGAAAGAAGTCAACTCCCTCACGCTGACTGAAACCTCTAGCCACGTAGCGTGCCTTGAAGACTGGAGGAGATCCCGGCGGCCGCTTCACCTTGAAGATCCACATGCCGTCAACAATGTTCGCCCCTGGGGGGGGAACCTCGTCAACGTAAGTGCCTGTGGACCTGTAGGAGGCCATCTCTGCGTCCATGGCAGCTCTCCACTGAGAGGCCCAAGGCCCTGACACTGCCTCAGCGTAAGTGCGAGGAGTAGGTATGTCAGGAGCGTCGGGGTCTCCCTCAGGAGCGAGCAGCATGGCACAGAGATGAGGTGAAGCGGCTGCCAGGAACTCTAGCTCAAACTGTCTATCCTCTAGGACGGCACAGCCAAGGGCAAACTCACCCCCGGCGGACAGAGGACGGACAGGAGGAGCCGCCACAACGCGAGTGGCGTAGTCAAGGCGACGCGTAGCAGTAAAGTCTGTGACAGCGGCAGTGAGGACCGCGACGGAGGAAGGAGAGGCACGAGGGTCTGTAACAAGAGAGGCGAGAACACGAGAGAGAGTGGGGCGGTACGTGCGGTAGTAGTCAGTGACCGGAGTGGACAGGGAGGCAGTGAGGGACGACTCAGGAGGACGAGGAAGAACAGACGGAGGAGAACGAGGAGGACTAGGACGAAACAACACGGTACGAAGGTCACGGACAGGTGACGAGGGACGAGCACGGGGAGGACGAGAGGCCCAAGTGTGAGAAAGAGGAGTGGGAGACGGAGCGGGAGACGGAGGAGAGCGAGAACGAGGGAACACAGCCGGAGCTGAGTCCGGAGGAGGAAACGTCGGACCGAACACAGGAGGAGAGGAGGAGGGGAGACCAAGGGCCCGAAGGCCAGTAACAGAGGCCGGAGGCTGCTCCGGCTGCTGCGGCGGCTGCTGCTGCTGCTGCTGCTGCTGCTGCTGCTGCTGCTGCTGCTGCTGCTGCTGCTGCTGCTGCTCCCGCTGCAACTCCAGCCTCTCACGCTCCACCCGCTGCTGAACCTCCAACCTCTCACGCTCCAAACGCTGCTGCTCCTCACGCTCAAGACGAAGACGGGTCTGGTGTCGAGTCAGGTAGGGGTGAGGAGGAGGAGTGGTGTCAGGAGACGAAGAAGAAGAACCGGCTCCGCCCTCGACAGCACCCGGCTGAGAACCCCCAGAGCGTGTACCCCCTGCGGCAGCACGACTAGCACCTGTAGGAGGTGGACCCGCACCCCCAGTCGGGGTGCCTCCAGTGGCACCAGCACCAGCCTCAGACTCTCCAGCTCCAGAAACACCACCAGCTCCAGCACCACCACCAGCTCCAGCACCCTCGGAACGGGCAGCCGCGGCAGGTGCACGCTCAGCGCCAACGCCAACACCCCCAGAACGGGCGGCTCCTGTAGGTGCACGAACAGCTCCAACGCCAGCACCCCCAGAGCGAGCACCGCCAGAGCCCTCACCCCGAGCACCAACACCCTCAGAGTCCGCAGTGGCCGGTAAAGGAAGCGCTGACGGCTGCTGCGGAGGCT